AAATTACTGTTATTATTGCGCGAAGATATTCTTAAGTTACTACGTGATCTCTTGCGGGATTGAAAAAAGTGGTAGTTAGGTGAATTTATATCTAAAATAATCTGGTAAAACAGAAATATGAGAGAATTGATCTAGTAGTATTTGAAAATCATATTTTGCTGCAACAAACATATTCATATATCGTCACTGTGTGATGACGCCCTCTGTTTTTTACTTGTCAGTTTTTCAGGACAATCCAAAAACATAGTTCAATACAGTATCTTTTTCTCTATCTACTGATATCAATGCTATATCTAGACCCGTTCAAAAACTTGCAGAACAATCACCTAACACTTGCTATTGTTTACCAAACGAAAAGGAAAAAAAAGAAATAGGTAAAAGACAAGCTTGTAGATCATAAGATGAAAATAAAGAGTCAATCAATATGTATTTCGTACTACACACCTAGACTAGCCACCACTCAATAATTTTTTACGACCCTTCATCGTGCCCCGTGAAAATTCTTGACCCGTCCGAACCCGTGTAAATCTATACTCGCACCGCCCCGCTCACCCGTCAGTGAATCGCTACCCGTAACCCGTCAACCCCGCAGCTTTGTAAAAATTCGCGGCCGACCCCGCGGGCCCGTAAGTAGGGTGTAGCTCATACAAATAAAAATTCTACAGAGTAGAACTTAATATATATTTCTGACATCTTTTTGATCAAAAACAGTGTAAAGAGTGATATCATAATCTAAATCGAATGGGTAGAATAACAACGAACGGAAAACAATGGCCTATTGTTTAGTACTATTTCTACATAAGCTGACGAGTTCGGCCATTTTTGATTATTTGTCTAGTAAATGTGCATGTAAATGTAACAAAAAATGTCTTCGAAATCATCTCGACATGAACGTATTGTTAGTACAAACGGGCGAGTCTTGGAAGAGAGAAGGCAAAATTTAAGTGATCATTTTGTAAATAACATTTTATTTTTAAGAAACTTTCGAAATATTTATTAATTTTGTATTTGATTCTCGTTGAAAATCAATAAAATATATTGAAACAAAGTGAAGAAAAACTTTATGCTGGCTTTTACTTGGGCCTGAAACTCTAAGGACATGATAGGGTGTAAAATGAAAAATCTCTGTGATAGGGTGGGGTAAGGGTACAAAGCCCCTAGGAGAGGGCAGGGCAAGGTTACGAAGTCTATAGCAGGGCTCCTAATGGGATGGGATGGGACGAAATTTTCGTCCCGTGGGATAATGCAAGTCGTCTCATTCCATCCCATGGGCTCCCATGGGATTCGCTATATTACGAAAAATCTTAATGAAAATCAAGGTTTATTTTTTTTGTAACTGGAAATTCGAAGTTTTCCAGCATTCCGATTTGAATATTGGAATTAGAGATGCATCGATTCCTAGTACATTGCAAGAAAGATGACATTTTTGTCTGATGTAGAATGGAGTTGCCCTCTGATTCCATATATCAGCCAAGACCATTTTTTTGCTCTATGTAAAACGATAGCCGAGATTTATGAAAGATTAAAAAACGTTTTCGGTCAAATCCAATTCAGTTTCAGACTTGCAGTTTGCATTACACAAATTCTAAGAATAGATTTGAAAAGAACGTTCAAAACTGAACAGAAAAAAAAATAAGTAAAACGAGGCTTAATCCATAACTCCCAATGCCGAGAACATGTAAACATTGGATAAAAAATTCAAAAAATTGACGGGATTCGATCTTTTACCTACTTAAAAATGACGTACCCGGTAGTGAGAATTATCGATTGAACATCTCTTTCTTCATATTTTTCTGTTCAGTTTTGAACGCTTTGTCAAATCTATTCTTAGAATTTGTAGGTTAGATTTGGCAGAATTTGACGGAAAACGACTTGAAAATTGGAATTGGGAGTCAAATCCAAAAACGCTTTTTCACCTTTAATAAATTTGGATCATAGTTTTTCATAGATCGAAAAAGATGATTTTGGCTGATATCTGGAACGGAATCAGAGGACGCCTGCCTCCTACATTAGGCAAAATTTGTATCTATCGTACCATGTACTAGAAATTGGTGCATTCCTGATTGGAATATCATTATCAATACCTTTTAATTCTCTTTGTGATGTTGTAAACGAAATTTTATTTTCTCAACTGAATATTCCTGTTTATTCGAAACTAAGGATGATAAGGAGGAAGAAATAATTATCGAAAGTGACATTGAACAATTTATAAAACAAAAGATGATGATATTTTATTAAAACATTGAAACACAAAGAACATTCATGTTTTTTTTGTTTTCTATGCTTTATCGTATTCTTTATTCAATTGTTCGAATAGAGCTCGGAGTTGGGTTAATGACCAGTACAGAAAAAGAATGATAATATTCATACTTTTCGCCTATTGTCAAGTGTGACATAAATGAATAATCATTTTTTCTTTAAAAAATAATCGCATTTCCCTTGAGATTAGGAACTCATCCCATCCCATTAGGAGGCCTGGTTTTCATTATTTTTAGAAATCTGATGCAAGCGACTAGTTCAAGAATCACAGCCTTCAAAGACGACTTCAAGTCGAATTTGTTTTATAGCACGTCTTAGTTCTTCAATTAACGGCTTTTCAATACCACCCTCTTGAGGGTGTGGGTGTGAAGACGGTGTTAGTCTTCTCTTTACCCCCACCTCACCCCAAGAAATTATAAGACGCTGGAAGTAGCCTGGCTATAGTGCTTTTAAAATATTCTATGCTTTCAGTAGAGGATCAGCGGCACTTACGCCGCGTTACTTATTATCTTATTCGCCCCAGTGAATATCTAATATCTGTAGTAAGATTTCAGCTTTGAACTGTAGGCAAAAAGGAAGAATATGACGACAGCAACGCCACGCATGACAATTGATGATGCTGAAGCATATGCCGTAGAAGTATTGAAATTTCAGAAAACAAATCTTCTCGCTCACGGTGTAGCTGTTTATCGCAATTCCAAGAGACCAAATGCAACTGAATATATTACATATGATGTGGACGGACATGTAGGTGGTGTCTGGAAAGCAGGAGACAAAAAATGGGCTGAAGGTGGATGTAAACAGAAGCCCGCTCGAAGCGGAACATACGATAAGGATTTGAACAAAATTGCAGATTAATTAGTTTTTCACAAATATTTGTACGCGTTCGTTTTTTGATTTTTTTATACTCCTGAATCTTATCTTTAACCATGCTATTCAGATAAAAACAGTTATGGGTAACTCCATGGAGACCCAACCACCGTTTTGGAAAAGTTTTCTTTTTCAGTTTTTTTCTCCATCAAACGACTGATCCACTTGAGAAAATATTATTGATCAAAGAACAATTAGCTGTTATTATCAAAATTCTGGACCTCCAGGTCAATTTCTTGGTACACGTCGGGATACATAGTAAAGACCAGGTAGCTCAGCTAAAGCGCTCTACGGATGATGCAAAATACCGTTACATGGTCAACTTTTTATGCTGAATCTTATGGAAGGGTCTAAAAGCATTTTTTAAATGAAAAAAATATTCATAAAGAGAGTCTGGAATTCTGGGGTATTTTTGTGAAAAAGTGGATATATAGACTGTATTTCATCAGCGAAGGTAACCACCAATCGTTAATATCTTAAAATATCTTATTAATGCACAATGTCTCCACTCTCTTGCATCACCCACTAAAGCATTTCTAGCAAATACCTTTTTCGCACAGGTGTCCTCAGGTAATAGCTGATCTGGATAGTTTCGATCGCAGTCTTGGGTTGTTTCTAATTAGATGAACCATACCATTGCGTGGTTAACCCTTTTATCTTGGCATTTGTTACGATTGTCAGACAATAACTTTGAATGAAAACGTCGATACTTTGTTTAATCAAACGGAACAAGAAGTAAGGTTGATAAAACGAAAGATTGTCACACAAGGACATCTAGGTATGGAGACGCATGCACGAAAAGTTTAAATTGTAACGAATACGAATGCCGGATGAGTCACTGGATATCGTATAGAATAGATCGTTCACCAGAATTATTTTTCTATTATCATTTGTACAAACTCAATGCCGAGACCACAATATTGCCAGCATCCAACGAGACACGCAACGTCTACATCAGGAGTAAAAGGAGTTAGAGCAATCTCATTGAAATTATCCATGTTTTTAATCAGTCAATATGATATCACGGACATTCGTGTTCATTGGCTCTGTCCTATATGTCATACATTGGAATCAAGTGAGCTGATAATTCATCAACCAATGCAAATCAACAACGATCGAAGCCTCACTGATGATGGATATACAGTAGAAGATATTCCTTCTGTTGAAGATGATGAGGAAGAAGTTTCGTATGGCAATCAAGAAGATGAGGATAATGTTTACATGAATGACAGCATGGAAGCTGAGATAAAAGACAACGATGAAGAAACTGATGTTGAATCAATGCATGAAGAATCAGATGAAGTTTCTTATGATCTCGAATATCACCAAAATGAAGCAATAGAAAAATTATCCACTATCTTCCGATTATTGAATATAAAACAAATTCACGACAAATAAATCGGTCACTTAGTTCTCGGCTTTCTGTAAATGTTCTTATTCTTAGAGTGGCTGTTCGTTCCATTCGTGCTAAAATCGATGAAGTATACAGATATCTTCATGGATTATGTGATGTGTTAGAAGGGCAACCTCAAGATCAACGCAATGCAAATCCACATAATCTGCTGATTAGCGAATCAAACGCGCATTTGGATGGCCTGAAAAGGTTGTTCGATGAAAGCAATGACAAAGAACAAGTCCGTCTGATGACAATCGCACCTCAACAATGGGGCCGAAAACAAGTCGAAAAGTGGTACGCTATTTATCCTTAGTATTTTCCATCAGTAATCATCATTTGATTTGATTATCTTTCACTTGACATTTTTCTATTATTAGGGTTAATTCAGGACAAAACCAGGCTCGCCGATCAGTCGTTCTGAGAAAAAACGGAGGAGTTTTAGCTTGTTCACAGTGTTTACGAGGAAATTTGCCTTTATCCGATGCACCATTTGACGCTGTGGTTAAATTTTACTGCGAAGATGATATAAGTCGAGTGTCATATAATGTCAAAGACACGATCCTCATCAATAAACAACCGGTACCAGTTCGATTTATGGGAATGACAGTCTTAGATGTTTATCGAATGTTCAACGAAAAACATTCTGATGCTGTAGCACGATCAACTTTCAACTCACTTCGACCTCGAGAAGTCAAAATAGCCTCGCCACATGAAACATGCATGCGCGCTACTCATGAAAACATGGATCTTCTATTAAAGGTTTGTGCCAATTACCAATGATATTGATTCACTTCTAATGTCCGACTCATAATAAGCTTGATACAACTATCATCAAAAGCATATTAATAAAAAACTTCTACAGGAAACGATGACAAGTTCAATATACTGTAAAGGATCTCATCTCTCGATTGATTTGCACGACTGAAACAGAAGATTGCTTTAATGAAACATGTGATAACTGCCAAGAAGAAGGAATTATCGACATTCTCATCGATAACAGTATCATTGGCATCGACGCCGAATGTTCGTGGGCGATGCGGAAGAATATGAAAAACAAATTCGACCTCTAACATATAATCGACTCAGTTGATTCTCTTCTAACTACGATCGAAGAAAGTTGGCCGGCATTTCTTATCCACACCTATTATAACAGACAGCAACGTGATTATATCACGGAATTGCGCAGCCAGTCAACGAACAAAACNAAGATCATCTTTTTCGATCTATGAAAAACTATGATCCAAATTTATTAAAGATGAAAAAGCGTTTTTGGATTTGACTCCCAATTCCAATTTTCAAGTCGTTTTCCGTCAAATTCTGCCAAATCCAACCTAGTTTCATATTTGCCATTTGCATTACACAAATTCTAAGAATAGATTTGAAAAAAGCGTTTAAAAAACTGAACAGAAAACTATAAAGAAAGAAATGTTCGATCGATAATTCTCACTACCGGGCGCGTCACTTTTAAGTAGGGAAAAGATCAGATCCTGTCAATTTCTTGAATTTTTTATCCAATGTTTACATGTTTTCAGCATTGGGAGTTATGGACTAAGCCTCTTTTTACTTATTTTTTTCTGTTCAGTTTTGAACGTTCTTTTTAAATCTATTCTTAGAATTTGTTTAATGTAAACTGCAAGTCTGAAACTGAATTGGATTTGACCGAAAACGACTTGAAAATTCAAATTCTGAGTCAAATCCAACAATGTTTTTTTAATCTTTCATAAATCTCGACTATCGTTTTACATAGAGCAAAAAATGGTCTTGACTGATATATGGAATCAGAGGACAACTTCATTCTATATCAGGCAAAAATGCCTTCTTTCTTGTAATGCACTTGGAATTCATGTATCACTAATTCCATTATTCAAATCGGCATGCTGGAAAACTTCGAATTTCCAGTTAGAAAAAATAGACCTTGATTTTTAGTAAGATTTTTCGTAATATAGCGAATCCCATGGAGACCCATGGGATGGGATGGGACAACGTGCATTATTCTACGGGACGAAAATTTCGTCCCATCCCATCCCATTAAAAGCCCTGATGAAAACTATTATGATTAGTCAATAAATATCAATTTTGTCAAGAATTGAATGCTGCGTTTATTAAAAGAGCTATTAGGACTTTACGATAATCCTGAGGGGAGATATTGAGGAAATGATGAGACGGACATTTATTATGGTGCACCCGTTGATATACAAATATTTCGGCATTGGACTTCAAGAAAGCTTTCTACGAAATCTTATTCTCGTTGCCTCCATGTTTACTACAAAAGTATTGATAAAATAAAACGTATTGCTAATGTAAAAAAATACCGAATGCAAAGTAAGATTCTACTTACCAAGTAATATCGAATTTTATTCTTCTGTAATATGAGTGTATAGGCGATTGTTCTATATGTAGTGGTCGGTAGTTTTTGTTTTTTTCAACATAAATTATTTGGATCAGCCAAGTGTGACTATTTTTTATGTGAGAGCTTCGCTTTTTCTCATTAATACCTGTAATTTTATGTATCATATGTGCTTGTCGCATGCTTTCTCCATGCTTTGCTGTAGGTTTTATCGATTGAAAACAATCCAAATGATGCGCATTTTACCACTAAAAAGCTTATTAGCGCATCCCCTTCGGGGCTAAAAAGTGGAACTCGCATATTTACTGTAAGTTAGTTTCTATCTCAACAGAGAGTTTTAAGTTTTAATGTAAACAAGCTTTCAACTTTGTAAGGACTAAATGGAAATAATCTAAGGTTTAGAAGATGAAAGTCTCGTTAAATATTTTAATCAAATTTCAAATTACAAAGCAATCTTTGTAATCTATTACTACAAAAATTTCTATTTAAATTATGCATAATACTGACTTCAGATTTAGTAAAAAAAAACCAATAGATTTCCTACCTTATATTTATTTGTGTTAAGATTTCAAAAACGAAAGGGTGTGGTAGAGTTAAAAATACAGTCACATCCACACATTCACACTAGAAGAGAAGAGAAACTATATGCAACGCGAAAGAAATAGCAATTGGAGGTGTAAGGTGACCAATAGAGGAAAATATTGAATCTCTACCGAATTATTCACAATTTAGAATGCTAAAACGAATGAAATAAAACTGAAATAAAAACATGGGTAAAATCCGGAACATCTGGCATCTCTGTTTCAGGCACATTCGAGGCGCCTTTGTCATTTTCCCAATCTTCAAAAACTTATTGCCATCTAGAAAAAATGCTCTAGTCGTAAGGAGGAACAAGTAGTTTAAATTAGCAATCATTTGCCAACAAAAAAACAATGTAATATGTAAATTCAAGAATCTGCAAAGTCTATTAACAACCTTAGGCAATTCTGGCTATCTTTGCTTTGATGAAAGCGTCTTGCTGTAGGTCAAAAAAATGTGAAATAATAAATCTGAATATTCTCATAGAGGAAGTTCTAAATGACTTATGGCTACCTTCAACTGTGGTAGTAATATTGAATTCTCTCAAACAAATTGCAATAGAGAGATTTCCATCAGATGCAGAAATATTAATTTAATCTGACTTAATAAAATTAAAAGAAAAACAATTATTTCTTCCATGGTTTAACATTCGACTGTAAAATGACAGAATTATTAATCGAAAAGCAGCACATAACAATGTTACAAGTGATCGAGTTATGTTGTTTCAATCAGAAAGAGCGAATTAGAAATGATATAGCATTGTTTGATTGAACAATAGTCCTCAACAGGGTTGCCAACTGTACTCCATTTGGACTTTTCCCTTTACACTATACGTATATATCAATCATCTTTCGATATAAATCAATGACATTTTTGGCTTTAACTAGCGTTTTTCTTATGGAGATAAAAGTGTTAATCATATTAGCCGGCTGCTCAAGGAGACAAAAATTTGGAAAAACGCGTTTAAACGCCCAAAACGGAACCATGATTCTGAGCCATTAACGCTCATTAAAAACCGCAAGTAGCACATTTTGTGTTCAAAATTTGTATTTTCAGAGCGTAAAAAAGACAGGAAAATTCAGTTTTTAGCGTTAAAGCGCACTTTTATCCTATAATGTAAAAAAATGCGTTTTAGCACTCAAAAACTGGAGTTTTCCGCCGGCTTCACGCTCTAAAAATGAAAGTTTTGAATACATAATGCCTTTCTTGCGGGTTTTTAATGAGCGCTAATGGCTCACAATGGCCGTCCCATTTTGAACGTTTAAACGTGCTTTTCCAAATTTTTGTCTGCTTCGGTGGTGATTCAGTCATATGAAACACGCATGGACACCAAGTCGAAACTCGGTGTCAACTGAGACAATTGTGGCTGAATGAAAAGTTAGGTTGAAGTTGAATACTAAGCTGAAATGGGAAGATTATTATTTATTTGTACAGTCGCAACCAGAAATGGTCAAACTTGCCAAAAGCAAATAGCAATACCGTCACGAAAAAAATTAATATCCGCCAGTTAATGTGAATACAGAGCGTTTTTTCTAATTAAACATTTTTGTTTTATCTTTTGAATAGAAATATGTTGAAAACAGCAATAACTGCGAACTCTTTTGTTTGAAAACAAACATTCCAGATCATGTCTTGCGCATAGGCAGTTGAATGTGATCTTTCTTTCGCTAAAAATGCTATTGCCAGCCGTTTCGTGAGGTCAATTTCTTGTCTTGTAAAAAACATTTTGTACCCCACGAGCGTACCCCATGTGTACCCCATTGGAGACGTTCTGTACTCCATTCGGGACCTTAACAGTTGACAACCCTGGTCCTCAATAAGAAAAAAACATAATCAGCTCGCACGCTCTCATAGACTATAATTACATCGTATAAGTACAATTAACGTATAGATATTCTACAAATCCCTGATAACAAGAATAACAAAAAAAACGACACTTCAAAGTGATTGCAGACAATGGATTAGTATAGTAGAGAGAAAAAGAATATTTTTTCAAGAATGAAAATGACTTATATCTAATTACTATTAAGTTGCTTCCCCATTATTTCCTTTCACTAATTTACAAGTTCATCGTGATCTCTTTCTGATAGCAGCTAGTACCTCTTTGCCGCTATTGACAATGAGAACTATCTCGTATATGAAAACGATTAGTGATTTAGAATGACTAGGATTCATAATTCAGATAAATGACACGCCAATAGGAAATTATGAATTTTATACATTGCATCCGGATAATAATTTGATATAATCGATTCAAACTAATGGCGATCTAGGTCGCAATTGATTTTGTTTTTATTATAATAAATACGACAACATGTTTAATATTTGTCTGTAACGTATTTCTACTAGAGAAGGCAAATACACATAAGAGAAAAACAAAGACAATAGGTTTGACTTTTGCTTTCCAATGTCTTCTATCATCATCATCAGTATGAGATTAGAAGAATAGTTTAAAGTCAACTTATTTATATCTCATTAGATCAATAACAGTATAGATTTGCTCATTCGTTCTTAATGACAACACACAAACAAACGAGAATAAACTAACTAATTTGTCTTAAGCAAATCTAGACGTACATACAAACATACATAGAAAACAGACAAGTATCTATCCATTTGACCATAAAACACAAAACGATCACACGCATGGGTATAAAATTTTATTCCAAAGATATTCATAAATCGAAAGAACTTCCATCGTTATCATCGAATTTCGATCAACCATTCTATGTGAACACTTCAGCTTCATATTACAAAACTTATCATTGTTCATCTGGGCTATCGCCCTTGAAAACATCTATAATCAAACCAAATATTGATACTCATGGATATGCTTCGATTCAAAATCGTGTTGGTAACAATCGTTTATCTGCACAGTCGTGTTATCTTTCTCAAAATAATATCTACGCCAATATTTCTAAACCATTTACAAAATCAAAACATCCAATGAAAAGTCTATCGAATACAAACATAGGAATTAATCCACAAATATTATACGAAAATATAAATAATCAATTTTATGAAAATATTCAATCGTCTCCAAAATTGTCATCGTCGACAATACCTTTGAAATTGAATGAAATCGTTTGTTATGAAAATTTATCTGTCAAGAGCAATAGTTCACATTTCTATATGAATCTATTACATCAAAATGAAGAACAACCATCAAATATTCCTATATCATCAGAGAAAAATCCTTGTTCGGAAATATGTCCCGTAGAAAATAAACAAGTTGACATTGATAAAAATTCAAATGCTAAGACTATACAAGTGAGCTTGATTACCTTGATGAAAGGTTCAAACGAGAAAGAAAAGAAAAAAGACATTTCGATCAGAGCATAAAGAATGTTAATCTATTCAACATATTTAGATAATTGAGAAAATTGAAGTCAATTTGGCCCCAAGTTGTCGCGATAAAAGTGTGTTATACCGTACAAAGATGCCTAATTTTACGACGTCGATTCCTTCATCATTTCGTCAACGACGAAGATCTCATCGTTCAAAACAGCACTCTCAACGTACTACAAAATCATCGCAAACGATTCAAACTTCTCATATAACTCATCAGAAACAACAACAACAACAACATTCAAAGAGCAATCATCCTACTCCGCCTCCGCCTCCTCGTCGGATCATAACCAATCATCGATCGAAACAATCGTCTTCTAAAACTCGACCAAAACAATCGCCATCAACTCAATTATATCATGAAATCATCGATAAATCGGCTGTATCCGACGGTCAATCCGAACGCAATAGTATTTATTCACAAGGAGAAAAACGTAAAAAGTCAACGGAATTTCAAAGGGTACTAAAAAAACAAGTTTCCGCATGGTGTCCAGGAGAGCATTTCGATGAGGAAGAATTAACAGTCAAATGTTCGTTTACAACAGAAAATGAAAATTCAGAACACGAGGTAATTTAGTTGAATCGCTGTTTTCTTTTCCTTCGGATTTGATTAAAATATTTAAACAATTTAGGAGGAAATAACCGATGACGACGACGATGACGACGAACAAGAATTTTGTCAACATGAAACATTTGAAGATTTTTTTCTTCGGCGTCCTCCAAAATCGTCATCTTCAACAATACATCATAATAGTACTAGTCCGGCGACTTCCGAAACAATTTCACATGAAACACCTATTCGACCATCATCATTAGATCAACGTGCTCCTAGTATTGCATTAGGTTTAGATAAGAATGATGTAGAATTTATTCATGATATTCTTGAACGTTCCTATGGTGATCTACGTAAATCCAATAGAATAATAGCACTTCGAGAAGCTTACATTCGTGCAGTTAATAAACGAAATGATTTACTCAAAGCAAAATCTATTCGGCGACCCGATGAAACTAAAACACGAAAACCTACACCAATGAAATATTCAGTAACAGCTTCAAAAGTTCGTGATGAACTTGAAAAATACGATGAATTGCCAATACATCGAATGCCTACGTTTGATGATAATGATTTTTATTCAGTAAGTTATCGTCAAACAACGAGTCATTGTACAATACCTGTCGTACTTGCAACAGCAAATCGAATAATAAATTTTGTTACATCACTAAAACGACAAGTACAAAAAAACTTTCGAGATATACGATCTAAAATGAACGTTGAAAATACGATTCCTCCATCCAGACAAAGACGTTCAATGCATGTAAATAAACATTTTTTTTGTTCCTTTTATGTATATATATATAATTATTTTTCTGTCTTTTTAGAATTCATCAGGCTTATCTCATCAAAATAGATCTCGACCAAAACCAACCAGCATTCCTAATTCAACTGAAAATTCTCAGCATCAACGTCAGCTTCATCGTTCGCAACCAAATAGATCTCAATTGCAAACACCCAATCGACCTACACTTGCCGAACAACGTCTATCATACAGACCACGAACATTTCGCGTTCTTGCTCATCGTCAACGACTGCCTAGAATTGACTGATCATTGATTTGTTCTAGTTTTATCTATTTATATATTTTGCTATACAGATTTGCGTGCACATTTTGATTATTAATATATTTATGAATGTGTATAGCTCTTACTATACAAGTCTTGATAAAATTTTCATTAGTTCATGGAAGATAGAATGCAAACAAATTAAGAGTTGAACATCGAATTAAGAAAATCGGAAATGTTTCAATTCCTGTCGAATAATAATGGGCTATCATCTTACAAGAATTGAATCGATCTTGTTTCCTATAGATGTAGTACTAGCGTCGTTCAATTTTTGTCTATTTTAAGGGTCTTGCGTCTGTCCGAGTGTTTCTCGCGAATAATGCCTAAGAAAATTCAAAAAAGATTTCGCTGAGTACAACAAACTTGAAGTTGCAAGAAAAAAACTCGGTAATCTCTCTTTCGGAGCTTTCACATATCGGATAGAGTCTGGCTCTTCATTTTAACTCCTTCCATTCGCATAAAACACGACGTGTCACAGGAAAACAAAATTAGTGTTCTGTGCTGTTAAACCCTGGAAAATTACTAGCGTTGCATGATGAGCACTCTCTTGATTGTATTTCTAATGGAAAACTTGTAAAAACAAAACAGTGAAAAAACATGCTGATACTTTTCAGCAAAAACATTCGATTTTAATAATTAAATATTAATTCTTCAAATCTACTCAATATAATGAGAATACCTTCAAATGTATATCGAGTGCTGGAAACAAAAAGAAGAAGAGTATGAAATGTCTCAGTGACACGGCCCTGAATTCTTCACAATGTTATCCTTTCAAATTTTTTATAGTTAATCTCTATTAATAACTTGATATTAATATTTAGTTTTTTCAAGGATATATTCATTCTTATTTCTGAACATGCAATTTGTCTTTTGTTTGCGAATGACGATTCTATAGGTTACTACTTTATGGATTCCTATTTGCTTTTTAATATTCATGACCTATAATTATTAATTTTCATTTTCTATCCATAGGACATACATAATGCAATAGGTCATGAAAAAAAAAAGATTTGTGTCCATCGTAGGATTCATTAATATCTTATTACATATATATTTTTCTTAAATTAGACAAAAGCCCTAAAGAGTGCTTATGTTGTTAAACTTATGAGACCAACAAAAAAAAGATTTAAAGCTGTTATATTATTAATTTCCGAGATAACAAAAATCTCAACAGCTGTATGCACATGATTATACTGCAGGATAAATAAATGCTTAATTGTAAATCAAGAGAGAGAAAAACAACACATGAGATATTGTGTACAGCTTTTTAGTGTGAATTGTGAACATTCCGAAGAGCACATGAAATCACACGATAATATCGCTTGTAGATGCACGATGTGTTTTTATATTGAGACATTTGTGGATTTTTATCAGAGCCTATTTTATTTTCACATTTATTTGCATAGGAGCTTATACACGTACGTACTCACAATCCTATCCCACACATACGGTTGTTTTTCCAGGAAATTTTTACGTGTATATTGCTAGACAATATAATTATAGTTAAAACAATAAAACTGAGAAAATGCTTTTCTCGAATTTGTCGTAAAAGTGTATCTTTTATTAACTTTAGAAATGTAGTAGCTAAAAAGAGTGGTTATCTTAATCATTTAATAGTCATTAGACATGCGAGTGCACGCGCGATAATAATTAATTAGAATCGACAGAAAGAACAGCGCTTTTAGTGATTCAATAAACTCATTAGAAAATATGACTACATCCCATGTTTATGTTCAGTGGATTTCTAACCTTACTGTAAATAACACTTTGGCGTTGATATGCAAATTTTATAAAAAGAAAAAGAAAAATAGAAGTATCTTGCATGTGTATGCAAGAATATTTTATGTAAATATTTGCCTGACTATGTATAATCTTCACTTCCTTTTTACTACGAAATGTTTTATAAAATTTGCTTTTATTTTTCTAAAACAATAGCAACTGTTTGCAAACAGCTTACAAATTTTTTCGGAAGAGAATACAAATTTCACTGTGATAATCGAAAAGACTTTATTTGAGCATTCAAAACTACAAGTGCTCAGTGTGTTAATCCACAGAGAAATTTCATAAGCATTTCTTTTTTTGGTTTTCTGGTTACACCCGGAAAAATATTACTTGTAGCAATAACACAAAAAGTTTGGTTGCTCGTATATATATATATATTTATTTTCTCCTCTCTCTCTCTCTCTCTCTCTCTCTCTCTCTCTCTCTCTCTCACTCACTCGTATTCTCCTGTTTTGTCTGTTTATTTTCGGATAAAAAAGACAAACGCGCACTCGATTGTAAATTGAAGTGCATCAATACATCCTATCCTTTCATGTTTTCTGTATTGTCATTTATTTTCAGGAGATAATTTTTGCTTGAATAGCTCCCTCATATTATCGTACTGTTCAAACAGAGTACATTGGACTCACGCAAGACAGATAATAATAATTCTTTCTTTTTTTATTTTCCGGTACGGAGCAAGTGAAGTCTTGCTACACTTTAATAACATATATTTTGAAATATAAAGCAAGCAGGTAACTTGTGAAAAAAGCAGATAAGAAGGAAATCTTTCTCGTAATTTTTTTCTTATTTCCTATATATTTATTCTTCCTTTTTCTTTTTATATTCAGAAAATAAACGTGTGCCGTAAAGAATGCGAAAAAGAATCATAATAACTTCAGAATATTCTTACCGACGCATTTTATTGATTCAAAAACAAGTCACATTATATAATTGTAAGTAAATACAGGACATACTACAATCGTGACGAGAATTCGCTTTTTCGAGATCATCAAAAGGGAGAAAAAAAATAGTTAAGATTTTTGCCATTTGAAAAAAAATCCAAATTTGTCTCAACCGAGAGAACGGAAAAATAAGAGAACGAGAAATAGAGAGGCAAAAAAACAACAATAACAATAACTTTCTGATAAAAGTAAGAAAACTTAATAGTCGTATAGTTTTTTCAGATGAATTTATCGTTCCATCATTGAACTTATGGCGTCATCAAATAATGCACCTACATCAAACCGAATTACCAACAACTACTTCTTCTATGGTACGCATCCATTGAAAGTTCCCAACAGTGTTCCACATTCGAATTCTGCCGATCAATTGGCATCATCATTATCATCATCGGAACAAAATGCACATCATTTATCGCTTCATTTAACAAATAGTCATAAGAACTTTTCGCCAACATCAGATTTACAAACAACTCAATCATTACGTCAATTTCCGCAATCTTCACGAGACGAAGACGAAATGAGCGAGGTAAACAATTTATAATTCATAATTATTTTTTCCTGCATTTATTTCAAACAAATCATTTTGAATGAGTGCTGCGAATTGGAATCAAAGGGACAGAGAAGAAAAGTTGCTTTTGTAACTTTCAAGATACCAGAAGTTTATACCCGTGGAAAAAATAAAAAATGCACGATGTTGTCACCTTGGAGAAGGAAGGAAGAAAAAGAAATTTGTTTTGATTTTTACTTTGTGATTAACGATACATATATAAGAAGACAATAACAAGCGAATTTCTTTTAGATATTTGAAGATGCCGTCGAAAGTTTTGACGATGAGAACAATAAAAGTCACAAAAATAGGTTTGAAAATACGACAACAATTATTTCAAAAATCTAATATTTACTTATTCGTAATCATAGACGACGATCATCATCAAAACAAAATGAAATACCACAACTTGATTTACCCACAGTGTTCGCTGAATGTTATCAGATTACAAAACTCTTTCTCGGAAATCATCTCAACGAAGCACTTGCAAAAACCAAAGCAGAGTATATGTCATATAATAGATCGTGTTCTCTCCTAGCTAGCGAGTGTATTTTGTTTTTGTCTCATAAGGGAAACCCGATCATTCTATCATGGTCTATGTCATAGTACAACTAGTTTTTTACATGCAGCCATGACATTCAATCAAGTAAAAAAACAAAGAACGCACAATTTCACTTCGTTGTATTCTTTTATTAAGACCGATATTGAAGCAGCAATTCACGCGTTACGACATACAAGTAATATGGCTAAAAAATTTGAACCTTATCGACCATGGATACCATTTAATCTTACCGGTAGACCGACTATGACTGAACGTAAGATTATTTTAAATCCGATATAATTATGAAAAATAGAAACAAAAAAAGACAATATTTATTTTAGATGAGTTACATGCTAAATTAGTCTATGCCGAAGCATTACTGATTCGAGCTCTATTAACATTTATTCAAGATCAGAGTTTATTTAGTCTTATAAGTGGTGCATTGAAAATAAAAGAATGTCATGATCTATTCTTGTAAGTTATTGGAATTGTGATGAAAGATATTTTCTGTGCTATATATATATATGATCCTGTAGGAAATTAGCCAAACAAAATGATCCGTCCAGATTTTCGTCAAGTTCATCTCATGAGCATTTCGATAGTGGAGTTCGATTAGGCAATGGTGCATTTAATTTGGTATATATCGAAAAAACCGGCAATGATATTGAAATAATTTTTTCTGATTTTTATAGATGATATCCAATCTTCCACAAAGATTTATCAGATATCTTGAATTTGCAGGATTTTCAGGGAATAGAGTAATATTGAATATTGAACTTCTATTATTTTAACGAAAGAAAATTTTTTTTTCTAGGAATTTGGCCTGAGAGAGCTAGAGAAAAGTGCTGCTAGCGATGGATTACGAGCCGCATTTTCAGCTTTACTTATGCTTAGTTATCATACAGTTGTACTACAAGTCTTAGGTAAATATTTTCTTTTCGTAATCGAGAATAAAACAATTAAATTGGTAATTTTCAGGGAATTGTGATGGCGATTTTGAAACTTGCCATATGTTAGTCGAACGTTATTTAAAAATATATCCTGATGTAAGTATTGCATTTAATAGATGTATTATATAAAGAACAACAGCAACAACAAAAAAAAAGAAAGAAACCGATAGTAGAATAATAGCTAGAATATTTATTTAACATTAAATAGATGATCTTCGTGTGAATTTTGGTTTGATATTATCATCAGATAACGTTTGACATGCTTGATCTTTGACTTCAATTGAACATTTAGTACGCGGTAGTTGAATAGGAAAACAAAGTGGAATCGGTATTGGAATAGGCAATGGGATAAATGTTGGTAGAATACAAGTAAAATTCGATAATGCTCCTTTTGTTAGTGTTGTAAATAAACTTGATGATGATGTATCAGAGGATGTGATAGGAGCTATTGATGATGGTGGTGGTGGTGGTGGTGGTGGTAGAAGTGAAGGTGGAGCAGGAGGAAGAGGAGGAACGAAAAATGGATATTGAAAACGATTGACATCGACGGGTGATGGCCAAGCAATACTAGATGGTAGAAGGAGTGAAGGTTGCCATGTGAGACTAACAGGTAGATTTGAAGAAATTGATGGTGCTTGTTCAATACGAGGAGCTTTTCGGTTGAAAGGAGGCGTTGATGATGATGATGATGACGATGATGATGATGGCGAAGATGATCGAACACGTTTCGATGGTGGTGGTGGTGATGACGAGAATTTTCGAGTGGTACCATTCGTTTTAGGTTTGGGTATTGTGGGCGTTGGACGACGAAGTGGCGGAACGATTTTTCGTCGATTTGCATCGTTCAATGGATGTTCACATTTACTAATACCATTTTTCTTTTCCGGAGACTAGAATATAATTTTTATTAACATTTGAGAACACTTTTTCTATGCTGATAGTAATTTGAAACTTAGGTAATATTTTCTTTTTGTCATGGTTGGATGGGGCTCGTCAAATTACTGCAGAATATCTATTTTTTAAATTTATTTTAAAAGAAAACTTCGCAACAAAGAATTTGTATTGCGTACGTTTCTCAATCGAAGAAGGTTAATTCGCATCAGAATGGAATAGTATACGAAATACTGAAAACTAATATTCATCGAATGTTTGACCTTACGGGAAAGGACACATCGAAGTATTCGAAAATAATAACATAGGAGTATAAAAACTGAAATTCGACCAGTATTAGCTTTGAATATAGTATTGATTTCTTCGGGTTCGAAATAAAATTGAAAAATTCAATTTCTTTTTAAACAGTCATTTTCAACGACGCTGTTCCAAGTCATTGTACTGAGAACTTGGTATATTGAAAATTTCTTAGCATCTTATTACAACAAAACGAAAAAGTCCACTTGAATATGTCAAAAAAAAGAGCATTTTTCTAGGTAATTTGAGGAGCTTTACTCAACCATCATAAAAATGAAATTACTCGTACCTTAATATTATTGCATGATAGCCTACTTTTTATTGTTGATACAACAGGTAATGTGTTGTGATCAATATCAGATTCTGGGCCCTGAATAATAAAAGAAAAAATGTAGGTGAATAAGTTTCATTCTCTTTGGTATTCGAACTTTATTCTTTTTGAACGATGCTCGACGATATTGATTGAAGCATACTTCACTACATAATGTTTTTGAATCATCATTATCAGTACGTAATGTAAATGAACGTACACCTAATTTTTGGCACCAAGCGCATGTCGATGCTAAAATAATAGAAAAGAAATAGAAATCTAATTTTTGTTCTATTTTGGTTCGCGTCTACGAACGTTCTTGTTCTTGATTAACAATTGACTTTGTTCGAGGAGTTTTTATTGGTGATTGATTTGTTAAATTATAACCGTATAAACGAAGTAATTCATTGACTTGTATTTCAACTGGTTCATCTTTGACTTGTACATTGTTTTTCATGATTGAAACAGTTTGATTTTTCTTTTTTTTTTTTTTCTTTGGCTCGTCGTTGTCTATCTGTCAAGCAGCAGTAACATAAATGAGACAAGGGGAAAAGAGAAGAGAGCACAAGAGAAGGAGAGACAGAGAGATCAGAATGGAATTAGATTTCAGCAGCGTTGGTGTCGATATCTGATTTCTTCCTCACGTTCGCTATGTCGTCCTATCGAATTACTCTTTATATTCATTTCTATTCGATGAAGTCCAGCAGTAGTGGTTATTGGTCATCGTATTCTTAGATTAGACTGATGTTGATGGTTATTATTATTTTTTTTTCTTTTCTATATGCCTTCCATATTGAATTATACTCGGATTACCTTTGATTTTTTTTGCACATTATCAAAAGAATCATAGATCGATTTCGTATGCATATATATATAAGATAGCAAGAAGAAGAAAAAAACGCGAGCGAAAAAGATAGATGAACATTTCCTTTACTCCTCTGTTTTTGAATAGAAAAAATAAGAAAAAAAAGGGAGCATCTTCATTAACTTTTGTTATAGAAAAAGAGAGAGAGAAGGGGTATAGTCATATCATATTTCAATCCACACTCGTATCCGATTGCTGCAATGATATTTTAAGGAAAAGAGCACCGAGAATTATTGTATGTATATATCTCTATGTACGTCGATTGAAGGCTAAATGTAGTGATGTTTTGATGCTATTGAGCTTTTTCTTTTTTTGCGTATCAAATTGTTTTTGTCACTCGAGGAAATTTGAGAAACGTCGTGAGTGGTATATCATAGTACTTAGTGGATGAGAATTATTATTTGAGTTGGGATCTAAAATTTGGCTTATTCATACCATATCAATCGATGTATGGTTTGCCTTGATTTTCTTCTTCTTCTTCTTCTTCTTTATTTGGTGTTAAAAATGAAAGCAAAATAGTAAAGCCAATCTCAGATTTCAATAGAAGAGAATCATAGGTGATCGCTTTTTTTGTATTGTCATTTTGTTTTAGTCCTACTTATTTCTTTTCTTTCGTGGACGACTTCAAATAATTCATTGTCGACTTGATGAAGTAATTTAATTTATTTTCAAAAAATTAAAAATAAGTGTTAACAATAATTAAGGGAATTAATACATATCAATATGCCATGGAATGTCAAACTGATTGGAAAGATCTTCATCATGTAAGAATTTATTTTTACTATGAAAATGAATATATATATATATATATGCATATTTGTAGCTTGCCTATTGGGAAATACTATGGTGCCGTGTGTAAGTATTTGAAAAGAAAAATGTTTTTTTTTTGTTTTAACTTTTTTATTAAAAAAAGACTTCAACGAGATTGGAAACAAGCATCTGTAATGGCCCAAAAACTTTTAGATGGAAATAATTGGAGTAAAGCAACGTATTGTTATATGTTAGCGTCGTTTATTTTCGAAGATAATAACGAACTGGCGACAGATGAAGTTGTCAGTTTATATAAGTAAGATATTTTGTTGTATTGTAGTAGATCATTTTTACCCATGGCGTATTCTAGGCGAGTACCGGAATTGAAAATTCGTCTTGCGGGTAAATCAATACCATTAGAAAAATATGCAATCAAACAATGTGAACATTTTTTGGCACAACAATGGTTATTTTTACCCGGACTGGTAACTAGCGATATCTATTAAGAATTTTTAGAATAAATAATGCGAAATATGCATAAAAAAATAAGAAAACAAATATCTGCAAATTTCATATTTTGTTGTGTTTTGAAAGAGTAGTGCTTCCGTAAAGGATTAAATCTAAATCTAATGAAAGATTGAAAGTCAACTATGATTAATATGCTTGTAGGAATTGCTCTATCTTATGAATGGTTTCTATATTCTTGCTCATGATCCTACGAAATTGAATGCAACACTTAATATTGTCAATAATGCAATTAATGATTTAGTTTTTTGTCATCAAAGTATGAATATTCGATTATTATCCTCTATCGTTTTTCTTTGAGTAACAAATTTCTCTTGTTTTTCGAAATAGACGATCTATACTACATAGACAGTTATGGTTCTGGTTTACTACTTCGCGGTGTTCTACTCCATTTTCTTCATCAATACGATGAAGCACACAAAGCATTCGATGAAATAATTCCATTGTGAGCTTATTTAAAGAAAAAGTTTAAAAAAAAAACTTCTTTTCATTGGTAATTTAGAGCAAAAAGATTCGATGGAAAATCATTTTTAGTACCGACTGCTATCTTTGAAAAAGGATTGATATATGTTGGTCTAAAACAAAAACAAAAAGCAATAGAATGCCTACAAAAATCATTGTAAATTTATTATTTAAAATTATGATTTTTTTTCTTATCTCATTTTGCTTTGTATAGAAATGATTATAAAGATTATCAACTCGAGTCTCGTCTTCAATTTCGTATCAATGCTGCAATGCAAACAGTGAAACAAATGGATAATTAAATAAACTCAACCATTCTGCGGCAAAACAACAACAAAAGTAATGAAACATAAAGATTTGTGATATCTCAATTTTGTATTTTTTCTTTTGTGATCACATATATTTATTATTATTTTGAATGTAAAAAATAATAAAAAAAAAACATAACAAGAATTATTTTTCTAATTTTTATCTTGTTTTTCTTTCTCTTTCACTCTCATGTAAACAAATGCATACCGATCGATTCTGCTAGTTTATGAGCATCAATACTGAATACATTGTAGTCATTGCGTTGTTTATGAATCAACGATTGCTGTTGAATAATAGGTATTTTGTACGAACCAAATTTATATATTTCTACTCGATTTATTGAACTCGAACCTTCAGGATGATGTATATGTTCCATGCTGAGATCGATAGATATGCGTATTATACCGTTGTGTCCTATACGAACGCCTAACGGACCATCCGAACGATTTTTAATATTCCAATAAAGCATCGACGGACCACGCTCAAGTATAATAAATTGAGGAGATAATTGAAAGCAAAGAGATGATCGACCACCATCTAAAAAAAGCGAATATTTTTTTGTGTTTTCTTTCTTTCTTTCTTTCTTTCTTCTTATTATTATTATTTCTTAATGAACTATTAAACTACCCTAATATAAATTCTAGATTCACTACACTCGATTGTCACGTAATATATGCGATCTTATTTCGTCTAATAATCTTTTTTTATATTCACTTGAAGTAATCAAAGATATTCAACTGTTTAATTTCTATTTCTATAGTTACAACACATTATCGTATATCATGTTAAGATCAAATAACAACTGCTAGTTATACTAAAAAATTCCGATATCAAATATCGTATTGTAATTGGTTGTCGAATATCGAATATCACTTTGTAATTTGATACAGAGTAGAGAAATTTAGAGTCAGATCGAGTATCGGTTAGAACTGATCAGATCCGATGAAAGCTTTTTCTTTTCAAATATTCTATATTAATCGAGCCAGAGATTTTCAACAATCACTAGAGTTGAATGTTTCGTTTGAGGGAATTTTAGGACCAATTCCTTCATGGTAGACCTCTGGATTCAATGAATAGATTTCAATCGACCTACATGGTTTAGCTGAATCCATAAGTTTTCCTTCTAATAAAATACCGAATATTCTTTCATCATTACAATAGAACATAATGAGAAATGGTCCATCCATATAATATGTTAATGCACATAGTTTTACAGTAGAATATCCATGTCTATCTGAATCGTATAGATTCGTAATTAATTCTTGTCGTGAAACTTTTTCGAATGTAACTATTGGATCGTATTCATTAAGAAAAACTTTATTCGAGACTAACCAATTTGTTATATACCAAAGAAATGTGAATGGTAGATTTGAATTAAACTCCTTCGACATCGTTAATATTGATTCTGTTCTTTTCGTTGTAGAAAGTAAACACGTTTTTAACCATTTATGAATACTAATAAATCCCCAAGGTAATACGCGTTTGACGAGTTTTATATAGGTTTTACAATTATGATTCGGATTTAATTGACAAAAATAATTGTAGAATCGTTCTAAAAAAACCTTTGAACAGAAAGAAATTCGAAGCGATACAACTAATTATATGGAAAATTTTTCCGGACATACGCATCTTTACACTCAGTTTTCCCTTAGGGACGAAAATTCACAAAAACAGAAACTAACTTGACTCGAATGAGTAAATGTTGTTTGTACATTCGATTGAATAGCCGTAAAAAAGAATGCATCTTCTATTAATTCATATAATAGTATTGAATTTATTGATAGTTTTTCTAAAATATCATCGTCCTGTTGAAAGTACTGATTCGATGTTTTGTCAATATTTTTATTGAAATTGATATTCGTACGTGAAAAATCATTTTTCGATAATATTATATGAAATAATAGTAGCATAAAATCTGTGTGATTGATAAATTCATGCCAATTAATGATACATTGCGCAAATAGATAGAATTCTCTAATATGAACATAGCTTTTTTCTTGTTGATGAAGATAAAAAAATAAATGACGAATTATAAAACGATCGTAGTGAAAAAATTCTAAAAAGCAATTGTAACAAATTGAGTCATTTTTATTCGATATATGTAAACAATATTGTGCTAAATTACGAATATTTATATAATAATCGGACAGTTGATAAATATTTTCATTGCTATAATTTATATAATTGAAACAATCGAAACATTGTGTTAAACATTTTGTAATAAAGTTCATTGCACATTTTTTCCTCTTGCGCCTTTTAGATAAGTTGTTTGTGTTTTTTAAAATATTTTTATTATTCAATTCAACGACAAATAAAATGGTACTTAATCAAGTTTTTTCTTATTTGTTATCTTTACTTGAACGTTCAAATTTGGATTTAATTTATTTAACATGGCTATGGAATTTATTTAAACCATTGTGTATTTTATTAATATCGTTATTTGTTTTACCTGCCATTATACTTATATTTATGTATGGTTCATCATTGTTTTGTTTGATTTATAAACATTGGAATCGGTTAAAAGTAGGTCGGTTTAATATTTATGTCTAATAAAAAAAATAACACGAAATTTGTTTCGATTATCTCAGGCTGCTTACAGCGAAGATCTTTGGTATGGAGCAATAAAAACGTTAGCTGTTTTTTGGGAATTACAAGCAACAATATGGCATGGTACGATATAGAGATTTTTTTCAAGGAAACATTATTGAAATGATAAATTTAGTTTGAAAGAAAAATAGATTCGGTTTGTATGTAAAATAAAATGCTCTTAATACAATTTCTCGAGAGATTAAAATATGAAATATGATTCAGCTGCTCTGCCTAATCACAGGTTGATTGTTTTTTGTGAAACACGATCTGAAAGGAGTGTTGAAGGATATAGGGTAGAAATTTGGACCCCCACATACCGTTGCAGAGAAATTAATTAATTAATTATTAAATTTCTCTGTAACGGTCTGTGATAGTTTCTGGAGACTTCATACATCATAATACAGGCTGTAACAGAGAATTCAGAAACTATCAGTGACCGTGATACACGAATTCCAGAAAAGAAGTTTCATCGTGTTTCACATTTTAATCCTGCAGGGGTTTGCGCTAACCGCTTTTTTCTCGGTATCCACTTCAGGTTCTGATATTTACGTGTAATGGATACCGATTAGTTTCGACTTTTCCATAAGAAATTTGCTCTCAGCATCATCGCTAAAAATGCATCCCTATAATCAATCAACTCTATTAATCTCTAAATCTTAAACGCTAGTCAAAAAATTAACTTTTGATAAATGTATTTTGTAGGTTATGAAGTCGAAGGATTAGAAAATATTCCAACTGAGGGACCTGCACTAATTATCTTCTATCACGCTGCACTTCCAATTGATTTCTATTATCTGTTTGCTAAAATATGGCTCTATCGTAATAGACGTATACGAGTTGTTGCCGATAAATTTGTTTTTAAAATTCCTGGTAAGTTCATATGTTCGAATATGGAATAATAAAAATTTTACGTTTGTTCAAGGACTTGCAACTCTACTTGAAGCACTTGAAATTCAACCATCAACATCAACAATGTGTAAATTAATGCTTGAAGAAGGTCATATTCTTGCTATTTCGCCTGGTAAAAGCCGAGAAAGAATTTAGACTTTCGATTTTTTGTTTGTTTTTAACTTTATTCAGGTGGTGTTCGAGAAGCTCTATTTGGTGATCAGAATTATCAATTGATATGGAAACAACGAAAAGGATTTGCTAAAGTTGCAATCGAAGCTAAAGTTGTGAGTCAATTCTTTGTTCGTATTTGGTAGAGTGAATGATTCGATTTTTTTAGCCTATCATTCCAATGTTTACAAAAAATTGCCGAGAAGCTGTAAGAGCTATGACCTTGGGTCGTCGTAAGTGTCTATCGAATATGATTATAATATTCTCTTCGAGCCTAAAGATTTTTCGAATAGTTTGAGAATACCGATTACTCGTACTGTTTATGAAATTAATTTAAATCATTCTTCTAAAATAAAAATAATGTTTTATTTTAGGATTTTTAAGTTACATCTATGAAAAAACTCGTTTACCATTAGTACCTATTTATGGAATATTTCCAGTGAAATTAATGTAAGAATATTAATCCATATTTTTGATAAATATTTTTATTTTATTTTAATTAAGTACTTATCTTGGTGAACCGATTCCTTATGATCCAAGCGTAACACCCGAAGCTCTTGCAAACCGGGTAGATATTCTTTGTTCTAAGAAAATAACAAATCTCTATCAAGCTTAAGTTAGACGAATCTAATTCCATAAAGAACACTAAGTAGTCGTTATTCAATTAGAATTATTTCAAGTCTTGCGATAGAAATCTAATTAATTGTGAACTCTTTTCTACATTTCGTTTGTATTTGTTTTAGGTTAAAAACGAAATTGAAACAATGATTGAAGCTCATCAACGACGGCCTGGCAGTATAGCAAGAGCTTTTTTGGATCGATTTATTAATTCATCAAAAAAAGAAAAGAAAAGATAATAGTTTTTTTTCTGTTCTTGCTGTTGTTGTTCATATTTTGCTGTAATATAAATACCGGTGAATATATATATATATATATATATATATTTCGTTGTATTGTGTATGTATATATATATGCACTACTCAAATGTAATGAGAAAAACAGAACAAATTGAGATTGATCTACTTATATTAAAAATAAATCTCCACCAAAAAGAAACGAATATGTTGTGGATTTTTTTTTTTTATTTATAATTTATCTATATTAATTGTTAAATTTGGATGAGAAAAAGGTATAAACCATAGTGTAACCAAATATGAAATGACTGTTGCTGCAAAATAAATAGAAAAAAATAAACGATCTATAACAAGACCTATAGCAAGCCATTGTAGACGAGAATTAAATACATTATTTGCAAATGTTGATACTTTTCGACGTTCACGATTACGCTTAACAATTAACTCCATTAAGTTTTGATCGAAATTCGAACGACTATCATGACGTTGAGTATATTGACTGAGAATATTTTCAATTAAATCACTTGAATTTTGTCGACGTGCTTCGACAAGACATAATGTTGGCTCGTCATCGTCATTATCGTATATTGAAGAATTTAACAATGAATTTTGATCATTTTGTGCGTTACTTTGTTGTCGTACTAAGAGAGAATTGACTGCTGACGATGGTGAACTTAAACGATGCGCACTTTTCGATCGTTCTTGTGTATAGAGTAAGACTTGTTGTAATAATAAATTTTCAATCATACTTTCATAATTCGTATTGAGTTCATTATTATTGGATGTTACCGGAAATGGATTTGGCTCGAGTGAAAGGCCAAATGATGCTGACGATTCGGCCTAAAATTAAAAATAAATAAATGCCTGTTATAGGTTTTTTGCATGCACCATACGGTTTGACAGTTAGTCGAAGATAATTATTTTTTTCGGAATGATTAGCGTATGTTAAAACACAGTAGAATATTTTCATGGCGCGTAACCCGGACTTTTTAGAGTCGATTTTCTATTGTCGGATAAGTCACGCGCGCATACACTTGGCTGTCTCAACTTAGTATAGTAATCAATGAGAATCATGATGAGTGTTAATTACTATATAATTTGTCCACATGTGATAAATCATTTGTTCATCAAGCGATCTATTAGTGCGCAATAGAAATTTATAAGATATTGAACAGAAAAAACAACTTCCTAATTCTCTCGACATCAAAAAACCAATCAAATATTTCCCCCGTTAGATAAATATTAAACGAAAACTAAAAAGTTCTCCTATTAAATTAACTACGCGAGAACAAAAACAAAAAAGACGATTGTCAATTGATATGAATAAGTTTAAATTCCATATCGAGTTGGATATGGCATTGGTTTTACATCATCAAAAAAAACACCTTTGGGCACACCAAGTGCAATAGCACGTCCAGCAAGTATTGTCGCCGTCAAACTAACTAAAACATTCGACGATGCAACCACCAATTGTGTTACGGTAATACTATAGGAAGTTGAATGAATACTTGTCAGTTGACCTGCTTCACCCTTTTGTTGTTGATAAAATCTAACAATAATGGCGAAATAAACAATCAAATAAATAGCAAATAATGTCGAGAATAAACACATAATAGAAAAGCCTAAAATAGTTCCATAACTTCTTCGAACACCAGCTAAAATTCCCATAATACCAGCTAGTAAAGTAAAAAGGCCGAATAAACTAGCTGCATATGTCCATGGCCACCAATGATTGTAATAATTCGACATCGTATAAAGATTATTATTGTAATTAGCAGGACCATTATAAATACGTGGATATTCAAGGACTTGCGTTAGAATGCCGATGATGATTAAAAGCGCACCAGTAACAAATCCATTCAAACCCCAACTTTCCCATGAATGATTTCGAGTCACTTTCATATTCGGATACATGTGTATACTGTTTACAGTGAATAGTTACAATAAAATATATCTCGAAAAGTGAATTTTATTAACCGTTATGCACCATTGATCTTACTACGTGTTACACACACACAAACGCACACACAAAATTAAAACGTCCAATCGAATGGATGAACTTTTCGTGTATATATATATATATATATATATGCGAAAACAAAATATACATTGTCTTACCTTTTGGCTCATTATCGCCTTGACCTTGTCTTGCAAATGAAGAAGCGGAGACATGTAAATAAGTGCAAATTTAATCAACCATTTTGGCGCACGATGATTTTCTGATGCACACATTGTAGCTTGTTGATAGACATTAGCAACAATCACAGCCATAATAACCGAGATTGACTATGAGAAATTTGTAAATACAAAAAAAAAAGAATGATCATGATTATAGTTAAAACTTACTGTTAGACTCATAACAATGGTTAAATAGATACCTTAATATATAGAATATAAAATTTATTTTTGTACGATTTAATCAAAAATTTTACCTATAATCGGTACTGTATCTGATGTTGCAGGAACTTTCTCAGCGACCATAAGCATAAAAACCGAGAATGCAACAAAACAAGTTAAACCAAGTGTTACTTTTTCGCCCGACGATGTCGGCAACCTTTAATGAAGAAATTTTTTATTATGTTAAAATAAAGATAAAAATGAGAACTAATCTACTTACCAAAATGACATACACGTCAGACATGACAGCATAGCACATGGAATTATTACATTAAATATGTAATACAATGGACGACGACGAATATGAACACCATAAACTAATTCTGAATAAGTTCTATTATTTTTTGTTCTACAAAAGAAGAAGAAGTAGAAAATAACGAAAGAACTGAATCACATTAAGAGTCATTATATTGTCAGTAATGATACTTTTTCTCGGAAATAGTTATATTTAGAATGACTATCGTGATGTTTAATAAAATAATTCTCTAAATTGATTTCCTGAATTAAAAAAATGATAACAAAGCAGATTTCTAAAGGTAAAACTAACTATATTTTTTTCTTTCAAGCTAACCATCGACATTCATGAGCTATAAATCGAACAGAGAAAGGAAAAAGAGTGCACTCAAAGATTTTCCGATCCAATATCTTACTATATATAAACAAATGAATATCATTAAGCAATTATTTCCTCAAGGCAATCTTCTACTCAATAGAATATCAGCTCTCCGACATTCTATTATTTAATTAGAATAACATACCGCCATACAAGACCTTGTTTAACATCAAGTATCGCCCAACCACTATTTCTTATACTTTCCGATTGATATTGATCATTTGAATTGGCAACAAGTTCATAATTAATCAATGATACATCATATATCCATGAGGCAAATTTTAAACCACATATTTGTCGATCGAATGGAAAATATTGAATATTCACTGTACATGTTGTACGTAATTTCATTAGGACAGGAAAAATAACATCACCTGTATGATAAACCATCACATAGGGACCTGTCATTAAATTGAATCCAACGAAAAAAAGTTATGAAAAACGTAATTAAATAGATATATATATATATATATGTTTATACCATTAACAACTCCCTGTGTTGGTGCTTGACTAGAAAGATCAAAAGCTGCATTATAAATATAAGTATCAGGTAGCCATATTCGATGTGATGGCAAACGAATGCCACGTATCCCATCATGTTCGGTTTGACTCCAAGCGAGATTTTCATCTCGCCATTTTTGTTCGATACGTACATTAGTTGTTAATATTTGTGTTTTTTCTTCCTGGGAAAAAGAAAAAAAAAAGCAAGATTTTATTAATAGAACAATAAATCAAATTGTCTTTTACAAGCTCAAATAATTGAGTAATTTCCATTCGAAATGAAACATTGACTACTGCCTGAGCTTGAAGTACTGGTCTGACTGATGGTTCATAGTATTGCAATAGTTTTCGTATAAGTTCTTGTTCAGACGTACAAGCTTTGTGATGAGAAAAAAATCAAATTGAAATTTCATTTAAACGCACATATCTTACCAACATCCGAAACAAAAAGCATGAACAAGAATATAACGAGATTTCTATTCATATAATTTACATTAGATCAACGAGCATACTAAGAAAGGAAATGACGAAGAACATGATGAAAGGGATCGGTTGTTTGCGAACAATAGTCTTATCTGAAATCACAAAAAAAAAAAGAATTTTCTTTTCTTTCTTGCAAGAACGTGCAAATATTTGCATTGGTTCTTTCCCTCTATCTCTCTGTGTTACGATCACCATCATCATTCGCCATTTAGTGCTAGCCTTGCTATCCATTTTCTCGATTGTATTTCTTGTCTTATATGCACGATCGACACTTGGGTAGAGCTGAAGGGAAGACGATACAAACATCTGCCTTTACCTCGAAAGCAACAAGAAAAAGAGAGATTTATCATTCGACACCATCACTAATCTTGTTTATTGTCGTTCTATTTAAGAGAGTAACAACAGAAAATGTGTGTTCGACAAATTGCATTTCATCTATCTCAATCGGTTTTCTCGTGTAGACATGCAACTACGCTACTCACTGTGAAGCACAGCAGCATACATGACACTGTCATTGACTAGATATAGATATATATATTTATTTATTTATATTGAAAGGTCCGCATTGAAGATGAGAATAAGACAGCAGCAAAAATAAATGACGGCATCAGCTGGTAAGATATGAATATGCAGCATTTTACACTAATTTATGTGTTCTGCCATTCAGTATCTTGTTGCATGAAAAAAAATCTCTCTATACGATAGGGATTTACTTTCTAATTTAGATGTTCTTCTTTGCTCGGAAAGTCGAAGCAATTATCTCATAATAGGATAAGATCACAATATTAATATGAGGAAAAACCTAATCCAAATACTAAAACTTTGATCTTTTATGAAACAAAAATAAATAAATCTTCATTTTATTTTTTTGATTTATAAAATTAATTAAATTCTATCTATCTCTGAAAATGATTTTTCATTCATGTATTTATTTGAATATTCATGGGATCTAGCGACCTCATCTTTAGAATCGACATGATTTGTTGATGTACTCTATGCATGTACACAACACAACAATATTATCGATCCTAAACATGTAAGATTTCTAACCTTCCAGCAAGCAACAGCAAACACAGATGTATTTTGGTTGACTCTTTCAGATGAATATTAATAGAATATTTTTTTCCAAAACAATTCACCGTTTACGATTATCATTAAATCACATTCGTACAGTTTATATAGCTCAATCTGAATCATCACCGTTGCAAATTTATCGAAATAAAATTAAAGCATATGAAGTTAGATTTTTTTATATGGTTGAGAAGATTAAAAAAAAATTTATTTTTAGTTACGCTCTGATCCTCGACAAGAACAATTAATGAGTATTCTTGATAAATTATATTATGATCTACAAACATATATACCAGAATCGCAACAAATCGAAACAACAACCGATAAAACAAAATCAAATTTTTTGTCATCATTAACAAATATTTTCAAATCCTCGAATGATTCTGTAGAACGACAGAAATCGTTGTATATCTACGGTGGTGCTGGTTGTGGTAAGGTATTCATTGTGTTGTTCGTCTATGTTATTCTCATTCGTCTATCGATTTAACAGAGTCTTCTAATGGATATTTTCTTCGAATGTATACCAACCAATGAAAAACGACGCGTACATTTTAATAGTTTCATGCTTGAATTTCATAATCGTATGTTTAATAATTGAATTTACGATATTGGAAATCATTTGTTTCAAAAGGTATGCATCGTATTCGAAGTAATAATGCAGCTGTGAGCGACAATCTTCTTGGTAGTGTTGTCGAAGAATTACTTGATGAAATTTGGCTTTTATGTTTCGATGAATTTATGGTATTGGATATTGCTGATGCTATGATTATAAAACGTTTATTTGAGCATCTATTTGCAAAAGGTATGATTATGGTTGCAACATCAAATCGTCCTCCCGATGATCTCTATTATCGTGGACTCAATCGAGAATATTTTCTTCCATTTATACCATTTTTACATCAAATGTGTACAGTATATAATATGGATTCTTCGACAGACTATCGTTTAATTGGTACTCAGGTAAGGATAGCTAATAATTGAAGCGATATGTTTTTCTTCTCCTTAACTGCTCGAACAAGAAGAATTTGTTAAGAGAATCTCTGTGGGATTGAAGTATGTTTCTTCACTCCTCCTCTTACTTGTATTGTCTTGAAATGCAATAACGACGTCATTTCTATATGATAACGAGACATGACTATGTCGGAAGGAATCGAGCGATTGAAAACTTCTATTAATTGATCATCTATCTACTCTTGTTATTTTTTTAGACTGTGCTTACCGATGAAATTTTTATTCTAGGGGCATGTTCAAACAGTATTCGATGCTAGTCGACCTGAAACAGAATCTGAATTAGATTCACTTTGTGCTCGTCTTATTGCTCCGTTTGAACCGGAACCAGCCACAGTTGATGTTAATGGTCGCGATATAAAAATTCCGTGGCAAGCACGAGGTGTTGCAAAATTTTCATTCGAAGAATTATGCTGCCATGAACATTTCTCAGCTGATTATATAGCTATTGCATCAACATATAATACATTAGTATTAACGGATATACCAAAATTAAGTATTGAACAACGTGATCGGATACGTCGTTTTATAATTCTTATCGATGAATTATATAATCATAATACAAAATTAATTATTTCAATGTTTGTTCATACCGTTAAAGATATATTTAATCCATTAAAAGATCATCCGAATTTAAAACGTGAGGATCTTCTGACGATGGATGAATTTCACGCATTCGATAGAACTTTATCACGTCTTATTGAAATGCAATCAAAAGAATATTTAGCGAAACCAAAACGATTTAGTAATACGAAAAAACAGGCGGATGATTGGTCTCAATTACTATAATGTGTGTTCGACTTTATTTTTCAAAAACTTTAAGAATATACACAAGCTGTTTCTCTTTTGACATTCATCATGGATAGTGTTTAGGAACAAACAAACGAAGCCACACAATGAATGAAAGAGAAAAGATAGTATCTATACAATTGATTTCATTTCAATTGGAAAATAGTTTTCTTTTGTTATATTTTTTCGATGATCAAAAATATCATTTGTTCGAGACTCCATTAGAGAGAAATTTTGTAGAGAACTATAGTTATTGTTGAAGTACAATTAAAATATAAATTTCAGTGATGACTTCAGAATATTGAAAATTTCGCATGATTAACACTATGTTAATGGAAGATAATATAAACAAGATCATTTGTAGATGTGTATCTAGAGAAATTTTATATTGATAAGGAAATGTTTTTGTTTAGTTACCGTGATAAACGATCAATTTTATCATTCATAATGTGTGATCAGAAATAGTATGTTCTATAGATCTAGTTCTTTTAATAGTAAAATGCAAAATAATATTTTTCAAGTTATTCTTTTGTGAAACGAGGCAGGACCCTGATTGGAAATTTTCTTTCTACTTGTCACAATGAAGAAGCAATAATATGGCATTGCTCTGCTCTGTAGATCTTAGCGCAAAAAGAGTAAATTTTGCAGTTGCTGCCATTTTATTATGAGAATCTTAACTTCGACTTGATCAGTCAACATGGCATAGTTGTGAATAAAGTAGAAAATTATGTGACAAAGATAGATTTTACTAAAAGAAAAATGTACTTGAATTAGTCTATATGCATTTGAGCATTAAATATCATATCGTTCGATGTAAAGTCATGTGCTCTGAATACAAAATCATTTTAATAGAAAATAAAACTTACGAAAACGTGTGAAGATTAAGGTGTGGAAAAATGATGATATTTTACATTTTGATTTTTCTGTAGATCATCAATTCTAGTCAATAAATGGTTTCTAAATATATCTTTCTTTATTGATAATTTTTGATTGTAAGAAATCCTTCACCATAATTTAATATAACATATGCTGATTATTGCGGCTGGTCCTTGCCCATGACAGACATTAGCAAGCATGCACAAACTAAATAAGGCAACTTTTTTTTAGCGACTGATTGTCTTGCAACACATTTCACATTGTACGTATTGTGTATTAGTAGAATTGGATGAAAATTCGTATGTGAGTTCCAAAGTTTAGTCCCAAAGGAGCTGCGCGACCAAACTGTTTTTGCTACTTAGAGATGCCACGGTACGGTGTGTCGTCACCTGCGTTGTTTCTGATTTTGAGCGATTTTCTCGCCATGTTCTCTTTTCTCTCTGTCTTTCTCTTATTTATCATTTTTCTTTGATGCGTGTGAAAGTTGAAAATGAATAATTATGTTTGGCGCGACGCAGTAGTTGATACTATTCGATACCTTATTTGATTCTACCTAAAATATCAGCTACTAAAAGCATCATTATTAACTTTTTTATTTTAATAATTATATAATACTGATATTGCCGAATTAACTAAACATCGCAAGGGGCACCTATCGAATCTATAACTTTACAATGTATATCAAAAGTTTTCTTTTCCTTTCCGCCTGCTGTAAGGAGAACGTGTTTTTTTAAAGAGCAAATCTACAATTTGATTGTATTCGATGCTCTAATTTCTCTTTCATCCCGTGTAATATTTAATAAAACACGTAAATTGCTTTAAAATTTTCGGTCTCATCGATTCTATAAAAGTTCCACAGTTTGAAAAATCATGAAAAACTGGGTAAGACTCACTAATTTTCTTAGAACATGATTCACAAGGCAAAAAAAAATTGGAAAATGTTATAAGCGCACATTTTTAGTGCGTGTATAAACGATTTTTTTTATTGATTTTGTCTAACTGGACTTCTAATATTTAAAACAAATTAATAAATAAAATTATCACTGCTGAAAAGTCGATTTTTTTTCTCATACAAAAGTATTAAATGAATTACTTGTATATACATTTAATTTTCGAATATTAATCGATGTTGCTTCCCAAGTTGATCAAAACGGACTCGTTTACGGTCTGTTTATCGACGGTAAACGATGTCAAAGCGGTATATTTACGGCAGTAAATAGGCCGTATTTGCCCATAATATCTGACACAGTAATACGGCACCATAAACGGGACTGAACTTTTATGGTTTATGGCTGTTTGTGCTCTCCAAAACAATGATTCCTGAAGCAATACTCCGTGAATTTCCGGCGAAAACCTGGAAGAAACTCGCTGTTTCCGACCGGAACCCACCTGGAATCGTCCGGAATTCGATGCAGGAATCCGGAAACCGTATCCGGCTACCAATTTTGACAGGTTCCTGTCGATTCCGGCTGGAACCGGATTCTTTCACCGGAATACCACAGAACCGGCCGTTTCCGGGACCGGAATGTTCGACCTGGGTCCCTACTCTCATGATCATACGGCCCGTATTACTGCGCCAGATATTACGGCAAACTTTCGCCCGGCAAATAGTCGTAAAGTAACCGTAAACGACCGTACACGGACCGTACTGTTCGACCTGGGTTGTCATGAATAAATAGCTGAATATGAAAATTTAATTCGACTTCATGTTAATACCAATGAAAGTGATGATTATGGAAATGCAACTGTTTGGAAATCTTATTTTCATGTAATTACATCTCGATTCACTGTGTACTTTATTAAAAGTAAATTTTTAAATTCGTTCTACCGATTGGATCAGATTTATATTTTTATTCGCCACAGAACTTGACATTGATCCAAATACTCGTTCGGATCTTCATTGAGCTTGTTCTTGTGTTGATAGAATACTGGCTGAAATCTTAGTTGAACACGGTGCACAAATAAATTGTCGAGATCAAAACGGAATAAGAAAAAACCTTTTCCGAAATCGAACTTATTGATTCTTCTGAACTTCACCATTCCATTACGCATGTCATTCAAGGTGATTATCAAATTGTACCGTCAGATTGTATTCAATATCCTACGAATTGTTCATTATATCATGCCATCATAGGAAATAATCCTTTATGGATTCATATTTTTGTTCGATTCTCTAATGCAACAACGAAAAGATTTAGAAAAAATTGTTTGGTATAAAAATTATGAATATGTACTTAGAAAAAAGGTTTCTACGTTTACGTATTATTTATTTATGTCAACGTGTTAAAATCGAAAATTACCTCTCGCTATTAGCCAATTATATGCAACGAGTAATAATAGATTTTATCTACTTTTATATTGAATTTTATACTGATCAAGCTTTAACATGACTTCAATCCATAAATAAATATTTTAAAAAATCATTACTTTATACACGTCAATGTCTTCTAGAAAATGCTTTAAACAGATGTCAAAAATAACCTGAAAAATTAAAATTCTATTAACGCCGTTCCATAGACGCAATGAACTCTCTGTTGATATTCATTATAAACTAGATGACTTGTATTTAAATAATTATCGAAAAGATTATTTTCTTATCGATGAATTTGATTATATATTAGATAGTTTTACTTCCTAACTTCTGATTTTCTTAAGAATAATAGATGAAATAAAGGATCATTTCAAGAATGTAACATAGAGGAGTAGAGTGAATTTTGACTACTTTATGTTTACTTTTGTTTTAAGGTTGTGAACGGCATTAGATGCTTTTTTTTCTACTTGAAGAGCATCGCCATTCTGTTAAATCATTCTTTCTTTGTTTCTTGATTCTCCTCCTCCTTGACATTGCCATGCCTATCGTTGTTCACTCATGGTCAATAACATTGACAAACGCAGCAAATAGGTGCAATAGGTTTCCATTGTCGCCATCGTTTGTTATTTTTTTCTTTACGTCGTCACTGTGTTTATTTAAAACACCTTTTCTTCTTTTATTCTCTACCCACTTTTGCTTTTCTAACGAAATGGCATCATCACACAGTTTTTTACTCTTTTAATTCATCAACTTATTTGCGTACTAATGGCTGCTACATCCTACACAACATTACCATCTAATACATATGCGGGCCTCGGATCTCAAGGAGATCTTTATCATTCGGCTAACTATGGTTAGGTCATATGAAAATAATTTCTTCTAATAAAATATTTTTTCTTTAGGCACATACGATTCAGGTGTAGGAACATTAATACAAGCTCCCAGTCAATATTCAACAAATAATTACGGTAATCATCTTATAGATAATCAATTACGGCCGCCCTATTCAGATAATTATCTTCAACCTTCGTACTCCAATGATAATTATATAACACAAGAACCTCAGTATTATACTCCAGATCGATTTGTTCAACAATCGACCTACAATAAAGATAGTTTATTAAATAATTATCCAAATGCTCAAACACAAATCTATGATGATCGATCGACAATACCACATAGTATTGATGAAAATAATACTAAACAACCAATGCAAAAAACAACTCTCGATGATCATCATGTTGAGTCTAACAATCGATATCAGGTACGTCACACTTAAGAATATTTTTTCTGTCTAAAATAGAATTGCGTTTAGTAAGAATTTAATTTTCACTTAGAAAACATAATAATATGTGAATATTCTTATTACTCCGGATGTGACTGAGAGTAGAGAGAAAAAGAAAAATCCCACAAACTCTTATTCCAAGTGCACAATGAACACATCAATTAGAATGTAGCAACTTAAAAACAGAATAAGTACTTTTATAAAATTAAAAAAAGAAATTCATTCTCTCCATACTACAAAACATCTATCGAGAGAATCATAACTCAGTCAAAAAAGAACCTTATAGTTAACCTTTTTTACATAATTATATTTTTGTTGCTAAGGAATCTATTATCGGTTCATTTTAAAAAGGGTCCTCTTAAAAAAAATCTGTTTTTTCAAAAAGATTAAAGTTTGAGTTTTTATCATGGGTATATCCCTCAAAGTCTCCTCTTTCAGAATATATACTGGTTTTTTTTAAAAAGGTTCGATTTTAAGGGATTTATCGAAACAATACTAAGTCGTACTGTCTTCTTTTTCGAGAAAAGACAAGTGACAGTAAAGTCATTTTTTGGCGGAACTGTTTTCTGAAAAAATAGTTACATGGTTGGAATCAGTAGAAAATTCTAAACAAGATAGTGTACTTTTTTGTAAAATCATTTTGCCTTGGTCACCCTCCCGAAAAGCTAATAGTAAAGATCGTTTATAGGTGGAACGAGTTGATATCATTCATGATATCATCGAAAAGGTTCAGTGTAAAAATATAACATACAGATCTTTTTTCGAGTTTAAACAAAAAAAAATGATTCTTAAACTTATTTACCGTTTTTCTCAAAACACGTTTTTTTTGTCGGAAAAAAATGAAACTAGTTTTAAGCAATACAAGATATTAAGGTCACTTTTATTTTATTTTGAAGCCTCAAGTATAAGTAAAATCTTGTCCGATCAGATTTTTTGTATTTGACTCCTGAACTTAAAAACCTCGGATTCTATATCAATAGGTGACCATTTTTAGCCAAATTTTGACCCCTATTCCAGTAAAATACTTGAAAAACATGAACTAAAGCAAATTTTAAAATTCCGTTGTGACAAAAGTAGCGTATTGGTGCTAGTTTTAACTTAAAACACGCCCGACTTTTATAGCTCTCCTACTGGCAGAGCCTTAAGGATTCTTCTGGTAGCCATAATTCGTATGTAAATATGTCATATTTTTTGCTCAGCTCAATATATCGAGCTGAAATTTTTATTACAGCTGTTTCTAATGAAGGCCAGTCATTCCTGAAAACTTCAGCGCATAGGGATCTTTCTAAGTGACAACTCAGATCTGAGGGAGGATCCCCGAAGAAACACCTCGCTGTCAGCAAAAAAAAGATTTCTTTATGTTTAAGACTTCACTTTAGTTTTATTTCCATTTAAAACACGGTAAGAAATTGTTACATCTCTCTGTAAAACGAAGATGATCACAAAGTGTCATAACGATGGTGAGACAGGAGAAGCTTTCATATAAAATTTTTTCTCTTTCAACATTTATAATACAGTAGTCATTCAGTTCAAATAGGAAGCCATTTTTATATGCTGATTTTAACCATGACTTCTTATAATTTCTTTTTTCATCAGCCAATACAGCAGCAACAACTCCCAGCGTTGTCGGATAATAAAAATCCTCAATCTAAATTGTCGCCACAAACGAATTTGACTCGATCTGATAATCAAATGGCCACTAATCCGCCTAAACAAATGCCAACCAATCAAAATCATGTATCATTGAATGGTGGCATTCGTAATCCATCGGAAACAACACTAAAATCGAATAATCCTCCTATTGAACTTAAAACAAACAAGTCAACTAAAATGCGAGCCGCAGCCATTAAACAAAAGGAAGATAGCCGTGAACAAAAACAACGCGATACAAATCTTCTTGTGCCGAAAAAGAAAATGACTCCACCGAAACCAACAAAAGTTCAAACACATCCTGTAAGTGATGTTGAATATAAGGATGCAGGAAAACCAAAACGTAATAAAAAAAAATCGAATTCCGTTCCAAAACAACGTACCAGCCGTCGAGATGATTATCAAACTGAAGATAATAATAGTTCGGGTGATGATAATCCCAATCGTCAACGTAGTCGAAGTCAATCGATGAAACGTATGCCAGCGTCTGATTCTCATCAAGAAAAAAATCTGGCATTGCCACTGATTCGACGTGGACGTGGGCCACCAATCTACGATCCTATCTATGATTATCCACTTCCGCCTAGATATCCTCTGAGAGGAGGACGACATCCCTATTACGATGAATTTCCACCGTACGGTCCCTATCCATATCCTATTCGATCGGAATATCGTTATCGTCACATGTACGAAGAAGGTTATGATACACCACCGTATCTTCCGTCGTCTCATGCTCCTTATGATGGATTTTTCGATTATGAAAAACGTAAACCGAAATTAAAATCGAAAACATTTAAAGATAAAAAAGAAAACAATGATGATCGTGGAGTCGCAACTGAAAATGAAACTGAACGTGAAGATGATAAAAAAAGTCAAGTACCGAAAAAAACAAAAACAAGAACAACAGCAAAAACTAAAAATTCTAAAACGAAAGACGATGACGAGGAAAATGAGAAAATCCAACAAAAAAATGCAAATCAAAAATACGAAGAAGAAGGTGAAATGTTAGAAATGTGGCGTCAAGAAAGAAATGATTATTTGAAACAAAAATTTAAACCAACCGTTCATGATGTTCTCTATTCTCAACAATGGATGAAAACAGGTATATAATTATTGCATAATTATCGATAGATTTGAAAATTTTATTTTCCTTCTAGATAGTTACTTAGAAAATCAACGACGTCGTGCATTACGCGACATTCAAGGTTATTATTTTCCTTATAAAAAATATACTCTCAAAGATTATAAAGACTTACAAAAACATGATTCACAAAATAATCCATACGCTTCTCTAAATGAACCTTCTCCTGATCGCGTAAATATGTTTATCAATCGAAAATCTACTTAACCATTAGTCTCTTGTTTTATTATAGAAAGAACGTGCTCGAAAACGTCAAGAATATGCATCACAAATAGATAAACAGCCCGCAGATCCAGCGGCAGCAAATACTAAAACACCAAGAGAGACACCACAGAAAAAAATTTGGCATATAAATAATAGTGATCCAGACAGCGCTGACAAATTATCCAAGCGAGAACGAGTAACGTCTTTTTTTCTCTAAGACATGAATCGAATAATCAGAATTAATTTTCCAGGCTCTTGAATATGCTAAAATTCAAGTTGTAAAAAATCGACCTCAGAAATCTAGAAACGATGAATCGAATGGTTCAGATCCTACGGAACAATATGTTAATGCTCTTTTTCCACAAACAAACGACGATGATGAGGGTTCAGGTTAGTTGATGGTTAATTCTATCGAATATTTTATTTTTTTACTTTTTATTTTCTGTAGATAATGGACGATTTAGAAGAAATAATCGATCTGCCGAAGAATATTACGATTAATGATGTAAACAGTTTTTCTTTTTGTTTCTCTTTATGCACTGTACTATTTAACTTGACATCCAAGCAACTACTGCATTCTTTTTTCTTTGTGTTCTATTTTGATTTCTTTTTGTCCGCATGTCGATCGATGAAAAAAAAAGCAGAATAATAATAATAAAAAAGAAAAGAAAGAAAGTGAAGATTTCATCAAGGATAATTTTGCGGGTCGGTAATTTCCGATTAGTATTGTTCGTATCGAACATAGTGTTCAACCTTCAGTTTGTAACAGACAACAGAATCAATTGGAAACGTAAAAAAAAGGAAGAAGTGTTTATTCACGTTATGGCATGCAATCTATTATACGCTATTTTAATGCTGGTTTGTTCTGAAGTTTTATGTAAAATAAATCGACACAAAAATTCGTATGAATGTTTTGCAGAATTGAAATGTGGAGGTGAATTCAATCATTTAAGGTCTAGGGCATAATTGCCATGTGTGTTTTTTGTTATGTCTAGGTAATACCAATGATCTATCGACAGTTGTTCAAGGTTTGCCTGGTCCGCGTGGTTCACCGGGAGTTGCAGGTCTTGATAATAATAACAGTTTTTCTTAGAAAATTCATTGATTATTCTAGGTTTATCTGGCCCTATGGGCCCACGAGGTTTAATGGGTCCTACTGGTAAGAATATAATCTTTTTGTTAACATATGTATGTTAGAAATATTAGTTATATCAATTGAGTCACATAAGTAAAAGTACTTTCATTTTTGATAATATTATTCGACATGGGTCTCATTACGAAAAAAAGTAATAGCGAGCATGATGATTAGATCGATGTGTGCATTATAAAATAACTTGTGCAAAAGAATTAAAAATCTGAAACGAATTATTGAAAAGAAAAATGCCATAAGAAGTTTATTCATTTTTTAGCCTCTTAAAGAAACCTGTAGAAAACATCGGGTTTCTATGTTTTCTCTAAATTTCACTTGAAAATGCTTCTATGACATCTAGTTTAAGAGTGACGAAGGCACTATTTCAAGATCTGTCTATTGAATTTCAGCAAAGTTCAGCGTGAAAAAGATTCCGAATATAAAAAATTGAAAGAGTCAATATTTCTTCATACATTGGTCAGTTCATTATTGTCGATTTCTATGAATAGTAGAATTTTGAAGGTGTGATCTCGATCATTTTTGAACTTGTATAAGTTTGTAGTGAGTCGATCATCGTTCCTTTAATTCTATGGAAAACAAACGGAAATATAATTGAAGCAGTGAGGTAGACGATTACCGAGGGAAAAAAGGCAATTTTCTCCTTCGAAAACAAAATCAACCTATAACTCGTAAACATAAAGTCCTGGAGGTAGATGAAATCTATATTTTCAGGTCGTGATGGTTTCACGGAACGTCCAACATCTTTCTGCGCCGAATTACAATATTTTGATCTCACAAAAATTACCGGTAATGTACTTCGACCATGGATATTATCTGATTCATTCAATGTTCCAACTGTATCAAATGATTTTTCAGAAAATACAGGAATATTTACTATACCGAAAAATGGTTTTTATCAATTTTTTGCTACTATTTCGATTTCTAGAACTAAGGTTTATCCTTCTTGTTACTCATAATGTAACCATTCTGATTTTTTTTTAATTTAAAGGTATCATTCGATATCAGAAAAAATGATAACCGCATGTGTACGATTTGGACAGAAGCAGTAATTAGAAGTCATAATGAAACAATTGCTTCGGGTTGGTCCAATGCTTTCATCGATTGTCTTTTATATTGTCAAATCAATGATCGAATATCTATTGCAATTCCTTATTATCTAAATGAAAATTTCGATTCGGAGACTTTGGCTTATTTATATTCAACATTTTCTGGCTATTTGTTATTTAATATTTAAAAATATTTTTATTGTAAAAAAAACAACAGAAGATCGTTTTTAGTCTTTGAGATATGGAATTATATTGTCAATAAACCATTGATCAGTAAATTGTAAATGATCAGTATCTGATTCGAGAAATTTAATACGTGATTGTTCATCCATTGTTTTTAAACCTAATAAATCCTTTAAATACAGTGAACTTTCCCGTAATGGAATTATTTTCGTTGTATTATTTTCTTCATAGAAACCGAAATGTTCACTTTCAGATGGCGTTACCATTCCATCGCGTAAGAATTTCACAAGAATTAAATTACGAATTTTCAATAGATTTGTTTTATATGCTTCATTAAATGTTCGTTCTTGATTAATGTCAGCTAAGAAAATGCTTGCTTGACGATAAGTATTTTCTTTGTGAGCTTAAAAAATGAAAGATGAAAACTTTTTCATAGGATTTAAAACTACATACGATCATGCCAATATTCAGCTTGAACAAGATGATTTTGTACAAACGATTCGTAAGCACCAAGATGCAGTAAATCACGAATATAATTACATATAGTTTCATTATCACCAGGGCATCGAGGAAATCCGAAAACACCTTGATGTTGACCGCCTACAGAAATTAAATTAAGCATCGGCGGACTAGGACATCGTTGGGCTACAGCACGTAAAAATTGTCCACCCTGAGAAAACCTGTAAACCAGTTTAAAGGTTTTATTTTAGAAAAAAAATTGTTTTTGTTTTTCTTCTCACCCAATAGCATGATACCCTTGTGAAAGATTTGTGTCAGCATTTAATAATTTGCAAGCATAATCAATTTGATGATTAGCATTCATAAAAAAACCATTGGATGTATCTTCAACAATATTCGATCCGATACGTAGTGAAAGAATATACGAATCAGGTAATTGAGTTTTTATGAATTTAATTAATGAACCAAGACTTAATGGATTACAACAACTATCGCCCATGCCATGCCATAAAACTATCGGTGGTGAACCAGATATTACAATAGCATTAATAAGACAAGTAATAAGAGCAACTACGGGCAACATTTATAGAGAATATCTAAATAAAATCACAAGTAATCGATTGAGAAAGGTGGTTGAAATCTTTCAAGCGTGTCCAAATAAATGCATTGAACTATATTATCTTGTTTTACTACGTATGCAAACAAATAAATATGTAACATTTCCACAGAAAATTTATCTGTTGCTGCTTCTTGATTATGGATTATAAGAAGATTTTTAACCCAGTGAAAATTATTCTTACATTTTCCATAAAGCTCAGTGTAGACTGTATACATAAGCAGTTAATTTTTGACTCTATCAAAGTGAATGCGTCATTGATCTAACAGTCAACCATAAAATTTCAATCATCACAAAAAATTGATTAAAAATTTTCTTTCGAGTACTTCAATCGTTTGTCTTAATCAAGTATCAATTTTGTCAATATTTTACGCTCGTTTTCATCTGAAAATTTGAGCATAGATTATTCACAAAATAACTCTATTGGTCCAATTAAAAGTTTTTCTTATATTGTACTAAAACAATCTGATTTATGGAATAATAAACTACATCCATTCCTATTTACAAGACAAGAAGAGTCTCCGTCTCGATAGAAGCCAAACAGAAAGAAAGACAACTGATATACATTAATAATAATCTTATTACAGCTGCGTCCTGACGTATTGTCTTTAGTACTACTACTCTATTGCAGAATAACTCTTTTTATTATGAATATCTATAGCTTGAGTAAATTCAATTAAAAGACTCTTCGGATGTTCTCAAGTGAATAATAATTGAACGAAAAAAAGTATTTCATTTAATTTTTCTGTTTGAATCATTGTCTTATTTTGTTTTTCGGGAACATCGTCAAAAAGAAAATATGTCGAATCATGCAGATACACCCACATGATCACAGTGCATTTTAATTGCTATAATATAATTAGTCACCAATTCTCTTACGAAAAAAATGGAAAAGATAGTAATGGATTAAAAAAGAAATTCTTTTCAAATAAAATATTTTACAATCTTAAATATGAATTCTTTAATGACCATGGTCACCATTATAAACGAACTGTAGTCGATGCTTTTCTATTAGTCAAAAGAAATGCACCAATCATAGAATTTCTTCGTCATATTCATCCATCCATCCTCGTCATTATTGTTGATTGATCAAATAAATATCTTTTGCTTTCTAGAATAAGAGAAAAGAAAATGTTCGATAAAAATTCTCCCGAACGACATCGACAAGCGGATTCGGATGATGAAGATGATGATCAAATTCATATTGATACCAATGATGCCTTCGAAATAATTGATGTTGATCCATCAACAGATAATATGGCCGAAAATCAATTAGATGATCTTGAATTAAATGAAAATTTACAAGACGAAGAAGATGACGATGCACTTTTAACAATATCACATCATAAACCTGGAAATTCAATATTTGCTATATCGATTGATCCACAATTGCAAAATCGTGTTTGTTCAGGTGGTGAAGATGATCGTTGTCTTGTTTGGAGTTTAGAAACCGGTGAATTAATACACGAATATCCACAATTTGATGATAGTGTCCATCAAGTTTGTTGGAGTTTCGATGGCAAATATTTATGTGCCTGTGATATGCGTGGACAAATACGTTGTTGGACTGATAATCAAGATGGTTTACCACTCACCGAAGTTTGGTCTTTTCATACTGGTATTGATATTGAATTAATGCGTTTTCATCCATCGGCACATGTTCTATTTGTTGGTACAAATGATTCACAATTATGGTTATTCAAAATTCCTTCGGGAGAATATAAAATTATGCATGGAGGAAGTGATGTTGAAATAACTACATTAGAAATACTTGCTAATGGTAAGAAATTTCAACTTACAAGACAGCCTACTTCTATATTCCCTTTCGATTTCAAGAATTTTTTTACTCACAAGTTCTCGAAAAACCTGGATAATTCATTCTGTGACGACTGGCTTTCGTCAAGAAATTCTCTTCAAATTGAAAACGAATTTTCTGAACACTTCGAATCTCTAGAGCGTAGTAGGGGATGTTTCAAGGTTCATATTAGAGTATGACGTAATAATTACGTAGACAAGACGTCATCGAAATCGGAAAGAGAAATGTGAGGCACTTTCCCTTTTAGAAAAGAAAAAAAACGCAATTTTTTATGGTGAAATTTCGCCGAAACATTTTCTAATGATAGATATTTTTAAACAAGTAGGACGTTGTTATGAAACGCACCATTTCATTTGTGAGTGTTTTTTATTCTCAAAGTAAAAATGAAACTATCAATATTTCGATAATGTTAGCGAGTATAACTTACACACATTCATTTCTTGATCAATACGTTCTTTATTTATTTCTACAGATCTCATATTTTGACCTTTTGATAATTAATGTTCATATCGGCACTATGAGGTACGAGTACGATGAACCTAATTTGTTAACATAGTTGATATTTTCTGGAATATATTTCTCCTCCTATTTCTATAATGAGCAAAAACAGCAATATAAATATGTTTCTTTTGTCGTTCTCAAAGGTCATCATTACAATTTCAAAAAAAAAAATTTCTTCCTAGAAAAATAGTGAGTTAGTACCAAAATTTGATAGTACGCCTTTCCAATAGAAACAAAGATATCTATACATCAATGATTATATAATTAATCTGTCGCCAGATATTTACACTATACCCAATGTGAGATGAATTGATAGAGTAACGAAAGAAGTAGTTTTGCGTGTCAGTAGCTTTCAAGATTTTCCTACACATTCTTTCTCATCAAGTAGAAGGGAAGCTGGCATCTAACAGAGTTAAGAAGGAAAACATTACTTGAAGCAGAAGGAATCACGGCTGATTTTTTTAGAAAACTATCGTCCTCTTTTGATACAATTACAACAGATTAATAGATAAATATTATTAGTCTGACGTAATTCTAGCTAACATAAAAATTACCCGATCTTTTCTTATTTTTTTCATTATTGATTATGTTTAATTAGTACTGAAGTCCAAAGTCAATGTCTATTGTTTTTTCTTCAGTTCTAACAAGAAAAATCGTCCAACTAATAATTTTTCTGTTCGAACTCATACTTTCCTAATTATCAGCGTCTATTGTGCAGACAAAAGAACATATGTCAGTAGTACTTTCGCCTTGTATTATGATTAATTCAATGAAGTCCATTGTTAGATACGACGAGAAAAATTCAATTAAATCAATTTTATGATATAATAAAAACTCCAAGTTCTTTTTCGTAAATGTAAAATTGTTTATGAGATTCAATTCGCAGTGCATTATTCTTTCGTCTACATAGTGAAGTCTAAAACAAAACCTTCTCTCGTGAGTAGCTTTTTTCAATTTCGAAAACAATCGTCTCATAATTGTAAAATTTTTCGTTCTTCAAGTATCATGATCAACATTATCGATTTAATTTCCTTATGATTGCTTTTCTTTCAGGCAAACAATGCATATGTGGTTATGGTAATGGTCAAATTAAATTATGGGACCTTAAACAATGTTCCGTTGTTTGGCAATATGATAGTAACGGTGAAGGTGACAGTGAAATGAATCATACAAATGCAAAATGTATCTCAATGTGTTTAAACGATGAGCAAACATTAGTCGCTTGTGGTTCAGCTGATGGTAATTGTCGAGTAATTAATATAAATAATGGTAAATTACTTTCATCGTTTGCCTGTTGTTCGCCAACATCATCGAATAAACCTTCAGCAGCAGCAAGCAATGAAGATGAAGATGATGACGATGAAGCAACAGCAACAACAATTGAAAGCGTTGCATTCGGTGCTGGACATTTACTTATTTGTGGTACACTTGCAGGTTTTGTTTATATATGGGATATAAATACAAAACTTCTACGTGCAACACTCAATCTACAAAGTGGTATTGTTAAATGTCTTTTGAATGAAGGCTATTTATTGTATGCAGCCTGTCTTGATGGTCATATTCGTCTGTTAGATATACGAAATGGTGAACCATTAAAAGAATGGAAAAGCGGTGGTGGGCAAGGTTGTGAAATAATGGATATGCTTATAACGAAAGATAAACGTTATTTACTTTGTGCCTATATGCAAGGTTCATGTCGAGCTTTTAAATTAAAAGAATAAAATAAAACTCCATTGAGTTTTTTTAATGTTCCAGAAAGATCGATAAAATCAACTTGTTTTTTGTTTTGATTTTTTTTCTAGATAATAGACCTAGGATTAATCCTATGACATTTCTACGTCTTATTGAAAGTCAACATATCAAAAAATGAAGGATTACTATGACTTGCAGATGCATTGAATATACGTTTGATTCATGCGAAACTTTTTCTTTTCTCTCGTTTTACATTAATCTATCATTAATGTTCTTTAATTTATGCTTATGATTGCTCCATTTAAATCCATTAAAACCTTTTGAGCGACAAAAAACAGATATTTCTGTCGCGCGTTAGTATATGCGACGGTATTTTGAACAAAAAATAGCTTATACTAATCGACTTTTTTGTCCTGTTTAACAATAAACAGAAATGTATTTGACTGAACGTATGTTAAGATGAAGCATTTGTATGTTCGGCCTCACCACTGTGTTGTTGCTACTTTTTTTTTCTTTTTCTTCTTCTTCTATTATTGCTGTTCTTCGTTTTCTTTCTCTCTGCGTAATGCCACACTCTTCATAGAGTATGAGCACCATTGAGATGGAAACATTTCTCTTTTCTCAGCACTGCAACACAAAAGACGTTAAAGAAAGGAAGCACATTGTATGTGTATGTGAACGTTGTTCGTTTCCTCTTCATTCGTTCTTCTTATTCTTTTTTCTAGATTATATATAGGTAAAAGAGACACGCGCTCCTTTCTCTCTCTCTGTTGAACAGACGACGGCAAGTAAGTGAGCGAAGCATAAAGACGAGGAAAAAAAAGTAAGAGTAATGATATCTTTACTTGACGAATGAGTATGAACTCCATGATTATGTTTATCTTTGGTCTAGTGATTTGAAAATGGAAAATCAAGGTAAATGTTAAAATTTAAGAGTTTATTTTAACATTTTCGATGCTCTTTTTCAAAGAAACTTTCACAAACACTCAAACTAATGATCATAACGGTAAAAAAAAAACAACAAAGAATCAAATTTAATCATTTTTTGTGTTGTTTTTTTAATAGCAGTTTCGCTAGAAGATGCTGTCGAACAAGTAACCTCATCAGTGACAAGGATATGTGATGGAGGTAAAACGAGAAACGTTTACCTTGCGTATGCATACCATTATTATATATTTATACGTGTATAGATACCTATCCGATCTCAGATAATGAGTCAACAACAGATTCAATATGTATAATTGATACGAATACGGTCCAATTACAAAAAAACGATGACGAACAAGGTGAATTCAATCGTAAGTAGAACACGTTCATAGGATTTTTGTTGATATGTGCTAGCAGTAAATCAATAAGTCCTTCAATTAAATGTATCTTTTCGATATGTGGTATTCCAGTGACTTTATTGTTGCATAACAATCACCATCAAGGGATTGCTTGTTCTTCTTCGTTTTTTTGTACGTGAAAGTGTTTTGGATTATTCTTTTTCGAGATTAAGTATTTCTTGTCTTTTCTATCTCTCTCTCTCTCTTTCTTTCTTCTCCTCTTTTTTCTTGTCTATTTCTTATGATGTTCATCTGTATGTCAACACACCGACTACGTCCCGTCGTCGACTGTCGACAAATACAAGTTATTGTCGTTTTGTCTCGTAAAATCTAACTATCGTTCAATCATGGTGCTACTAATGTTCCATCGTCAACTTTTACTTCTTTTTTCTATTTTTCATACAACTTTTGCTAATGTTGAAACATTACATTTCGAAAGTGCCTGTCTACAACAATCAATCAGTGTTCATTTAAATCTTCGTTGTTCTCAATATGAACATATAAAAATAATTCGTGTTATATATGGCTATACGAAACAACCATTATTTCAAGACTGTCAATTTAGTATATACGATTGTATTCAAGAAGGTACAAGTCATAATATACTTTCATGTAATGATCAACAAACTTGTGTAATAAATTTAACAAAAAGTGAAATGCTTTCAACAGCAGTCACCACTAATGGCGTACCGAATTGTCCAGATTTCAATTATATTCAAGTCAATTATGGTTGTATACCCGATTCAAAAGATATTTGTGATCAATGGAAGGACGAAGGACCCACCGTACACATCAGTCATACATACGCCAAAGAACGGCAATTTAATCGTTGCCATTGTAAAGTACGTTCATCGATGCCTAACGGACAAGTTCTACTGCATGCTCGCGAAATCAACAGGCAGTTTGGCAGTTTAAAATCTTTATTACTTCCGAAATCGTCGAATAACGATTGTAAAAAGACAACCTATTTAGAAATAGCAACCGATCGATCGGAAAGAAAATGTATGGATATGTTACCGTCGACTAGTAATAGTGCTTTATTTGGTTCTGGTTCACATAATTTTACATTGACTTACGTTAAAAATGATCTCTATTCAGAATTGTTTTTCTATTTTGAATTAAAAGCAAGTCCAATTAAAAAAGATCATAATGTACAAATTATTTGCAATTGGAAAAGACATTCGACAACGACCATAACAACAACGTTAACAACATCGATAATAACTTCAACAATTCCAATAAAACGTTCGAGAAAAAGAACAACAGTAGAAATGCAAAACGGTGGTAAATTAAGTCGAGCTGATCTTATTCGACGTCGACCTGTAAATCAAAAAATACCTAATGATGATTATATGAATGTCGAAGATACGACTAATGTTCTAATTAATGAAGACCAAGAAGAAATAGTTCAACAACAAGACGAAGTAGAAGAACAGGAGCAAGAGGAGGAAGAGGAGATTTCAACCACGACAACGATGGTTACGACCACAATAAAACAGTCAAAAATAAAAAAGAAGAAAACTTCCGGTTCTTCTACTGTAACGACTAGAACGACGACGACGACGACGACGAAATTATCTGATGACGATGAAGAATGGTTACGTATGTTATCGCTTGCTGCTGACGTGGGTTCTCAAGCACCATCAAAGCAATTACTATCAATCAATAATCGAACATTTGTTACTCTAACACAAGCTTCAATAATAAATTCCGATGAAAAACTTCGACAAACATTACCAAAATCTAATACTCTTCTTTTTATTCTTCTTATTATTATTTGCGTAACGATTTTCGTTCTTATTGCTTATTGTTTTAAAGTAAAACGACCGGGTTTTATGAAACGCCTAAGAACAAATGCAAATATTGCATTTTTATTCTGTTGTGAAGCTGCAAAACTTATATTTTGTTCATCGAATGAAGCACGTCGTCAATCAATATCAATATCAAATACGCCGAATACAGCAATAGAAAATCGTAGTAGTCGTCGTCATCATCATGGCCGTAATCGGCCTTCATCAACTCTTCCTGATTATCAATCAAGTGAATATTATATGGATGAAAAAATTAATGATTGTGGTACAACACAAAGTATATATGATGGTGGCGGAAAGTCAATTTACAGTATCGATTATGACGAAGAAGAAACAGGATATACGACAAAATATGATCGACAATACGACGGCGGCAGTTGTTAAAACGAGAGAGAGAGAGAGAGAGAGAAAGAATTTCATTTGCCTTCTTTTTTTTTGCTCACCTTCTTCTTTTTTTCTTCTCCATTCATTCTGAATGAATCGATTGTGTCTTGAGAATTCTCTTTACATATATATATATATATACATGTATGCGCTTGATTAGTATCAGAAATAAAATGGCACTATAAATAAATGATTAAGTTTTGAATTTTTTTCGTTTTCTTTCATAGACAGTACATCTCAAGATTCATTACTAAATGGTGAACATAATGAATATAGAAGTAATATTCAAAATGCAAGTCAAAATGAACGGCCCCCATCAACAACTAATTCAAAAATAAGTAGTAAAATGTCTACAACAAAATCAACAACCAATGGCAAGTTAACGGAAAGAATAGCTGGAGGATTATTATTCTACGTAATAAGTAATTTTTAGGTCTTCGTTCACTTCATCTTGATGAACATATTAAATTAGTAAAACAAAAAAAAGAAGAAGCTGAAATATTACGTTTACAAAAATTTCAAGAACAACTAAGAAAAAAAGAACAAAAATGGTAAGTAGATTTATACAAAAAAAAAAGAACAGTAATCTTTAACCTGAGATAATATTCGAATATTTTTCTGCTAACCCAAAATATAGTTCGATCATGTGTTTCACATATCAATAAAGACAAATATATTAGTTCTCATGTGTTTTTACTATTGCTCATCAGATTGTTGATTTCTGGTGTATGTGATGTGTTTTCTATACCTCCAGGCTTCTTCAGTAACTCTATAATGCGCTCGCTATCAACATTAGTACAAGCTTGACATTTTTTCTTAGTATTTAACAACAACATCAATGCATTAGAGTTCGTTCGAATATCATAAATCTAAAGCTTCCGACTGCTCCGTTTCTTAAAAAATACTTAGTCTATGTTGAGATAACATGTGTGTGTTGATCAGAAAATCATATTGACTATATTGAAGTTTTCTAATTGCTCCTCCTTCTGGAATAATCGTTTTACGATATTTTTCAAATGTTTCCAGATTAAAGAGAAGCCCGAATTTGATTACATTTTCAATACAAAAAGAACAAAGAAAAGATGTCGTACTAATATGTTTGTGTCATAGATCAGAGAAGTTGTCGGTATGTATTATAGAGACAGGAAAGTGAAGACTCATTTTTAATCAATAAGAAACATGATACTTTTGATCGTGAAGTTTACAATTCATCGCGAAAAATAGAATGTTAGCTGTAAACTATAGTTAATAATGTTTTTCGAATCACTGTTGAGCGGCTCGATGAGTTCTATTTGATATAGAATACCTATTTAAAAAAGATTACTACGATACTGTTGTTCTCAATTTCACTTATTGTGAGAAGATATTCTTGAGACGTATTCGCAGTTAAACTCATCGTGTAGAATTACGATTGATTAATCCATTTTTTGTTTTGGTACCGATATATTTCGTACAAATAAATAATCAATAGAGATTTTTGGGAACAAATTCTTTCAAATTTTCTCAATCACGTTTATAAACCGGAAGGAAATATTAATAACTAAAATTATATGATTTTATATGTGAATAAGCCCCTCTTTTTTTGTCCACACACAAGTCTCATACAGTATGCAGTATCGTTATGGGCAGAATAGGAAGAAAGTGACGATAATGTGAAAGAAAATATTTCTCTTGCTTGTAAACAACATTAGTTGTGGGCGGAAAAGCCACAGTGTACCGCTTTAGTTTTTAATAATGAATGCACATTACAGAGAAAGAAGAATGTTCCTGGAGTTTGTTATCTGACAGAGAGAGAGCAACAGATATGATATACATGTATAAAAGCCATCCAATCGATTGTTTTTTAGGCAACAACAACAAGTCGAAAGAGTGAAAAAATGGTTACAATTACGCAATCGTGATGGTGATCATCGATTACAAGTTGAAGAACGACGAAGAAAACGCGAAGAAGAAGCTCGAGTAAATCCTCCCAAATTCATGCTTTTGAAAAAATTGATTTGTATTTTCTTAGGCTAAAATCGATGAAATATTACGTCGCGAGAAAGAACGCGAACAAAATTATCAACAAAGAGTCAATCATAATCAAAAGTAAAATAAACATTCTTTTTCTATTTTTTGATAAATATCATCTGTGAATATTCTTTTTTTTTCTTTTTCTTCTTGCTTAGAACAAATGTAGTAATTAGGCCTGATTCTGCAATGAGCGTGTCTACAGATGTTGTTTCCACCCGACGAGCTGTTTCAGCATCACGAATACGTTCAAATCATCAAGGTAATTTTTTATTGGATTGAACATCGGGCCCACGCTGAAAGAAAACACTATTTATTCGGAATTTTTTCATAATCTGAAAACCACTGTAAAAGATCCTTCGTTTACATATGTAGAAAGAATAGATGATACATAATTTACTGCGTGTCTAAAATATCTTTAGATTAGTATCGGAATGTGAGATGAGCGTAGGAGTATGCATCGAAGTTTTGTCTAATTTAGGATTGTGAGACATTGTAAATTTTTTAAATTTTATTTAGATATACCAAATCAACGTGCATTCAATGATTCAACTGATGATAATTCAACTGGTTAGTCAGATTATTTTTCTGTTTTGTTTTGGTTCGAGAAAAAATCTATTCCTACTTAGCTGTGTTTTGTACGGGCCATGCTTCTCTATAGAAAAAGGTCTTTCTCTCCACTTATAGTTGTGATCAGTTCTCATCAATTGAATCCGATTGACGAACAACCCAACCATGATCGTTCTACAACTCACGAGAGTTTCGTATCAGCCACACATCATTCATCGGCACGTAGTCAAACACGACCGATGACAACATCAAATGTATATTGGTTAAATACCGGTGATAATACTACTACTACTACTAATAATAATAATAATAAAAGTGCAAATTTTATGCGTTTGACATATGCAGCGAATTGTCGATCCAATCATAGTCATAGTGCTGACCGATGTCCGCGAGCTTTGATAGGTATCCCATTCTTATCTGACTTCCTTTGTTACCTTCTCCCAGCTTTTACACTGACATACATGTCTGCATGCTTATTTTACCTGTGTTCATGTGTGTACTCGATATTGTTTGAATTGATTAACTTAATGTATAAAAGACATTCAGCATTTATTTTTCAAAATTTTTCTAGCTCGAGACGAAACAGCTAATCGAGAATCTCCACAACGAATGCCAAATTCTAATCGTCATCATAATAATGACGTTATCAATCGATTAGCTAAACCAAAAATTGCCGCAATGACACAATCCGTACATGTTAGTACAGCAACAGCAGCATCATCATTAAATGGTCTACCAGTATCAAGATCCAGTCATCAGCTTCGTCTTACGGCTTCTTCCAATGGTCGAAGGGTAATTAAAATTCTTACGAAGAAAACTTTATCTATGAAAGATATTTTTTTACAGCAAATTCACACTCGTCCTGCGACTGTTCCAACCTCAAACAATGAATCCCGAACGTCACCGTCGGATGAATCATCTCGCGTCGAACATCATCTATCAAATAAACAATCAACAAATCGTCCTACAACACATTCTAAACCTTCATCTAACACATCGAAACCACCTATGGCATCTGCATTCTCCCGTTCAAAACCTTCTACCCAACGTTCTCAAATGACAATATCAAATTCGTCGTCTTCACTTTCGTCATCAACCATCCCACATAAACGTCTTATCGGTGCTGCATCACCGGCAAAATCAAAACCACCGCCATCATCATCGTCACCACAACCAACATCAACAACAATTACTACCGAAATTCAACCAATCACAAATACTAGCGAAGAAGAAATTGTACCGGTGAATCAAGAAGTTATGTCTACTATTGAATCGATTACTAATGATACAAACGATGATAAAGTTAATTTAATTAAAAGTGAACAAGAACAGAAATACATTGATGAACAAGAATATCAACGTAAATTAAATCAAAAAATTCGTGAAGCACAACAACGTTTAGAAATCGAACGTCAACGTGAAGAAGAACGACAGCGTCAATTAGAACTAGAAGAATATGAACGTGAGCAAGAACAAATTCGTCTTGTCGAAGAACAACGTCGTGTTGAACAGGAACGTTTACAACGTGCAATCGAAGAACGTGTACGTGAAAATGAATTAAAACGACAAGAAGAACTGCGTATACAACAGCAACGTGAAGAATTAGAAAGAAAACAAGCCGAAGAAACTGAACGTCTGAATCGTGAACGTCAAGAACGAGCTCGAAAAGAAGAAGAAGAGCGAATCGAAAGAAAAAGACGTTTAGATTTAATTATGCGACGTACTCGACAAGTTTCGCCAACTGCAAAAGTAATTTTTTGTACAAAAAATTCAAAATTCTAATCCATAGAGCAATTATTAACATTACTATGATAATTCTTGAGGGAAATGAGAATTGACCATTAGTTCTCTCTCACCCTCGTTAATCAAAATGGGTCTGAAAGCGGCAGAAAAATATCGTGTTTTTTAATTTCAGTGCTCAGAGAAGGAATTCCTATTTCATAGCCCTGGAGGTTCCTTTTTTCACTCAATTAATGACAGTTTTCACGAAGAAAAAGAAGTTAAACGTTCCCATAAAGATAATTTTCCTATAAATATACGATTCAAAGTATTCTCTATTTATTTAGCCGGAAAATAATATTAATAAACCTACAATCGAACAAACAAATGGACATGATCAAATAAATAATATTTCTTCTCCAATAGCCATGATCAAATCTTCAATACCCCATTCCATGTCGGATAATCGTTTTCCTACTTCGTCATCCACTGAACATTTCCTACTCAATAATGATTCAAATACGCTATCAACACTCTCCTCGACTACTGATACACCAAAGTAATTAATTGAAAAAACGAATCTCATCAATTGAAACTATTGCATAAAAAAAAAACTAACTTTAGATTCAAATCTCCGTTGATACAAAGTCTTCTAAATAAAGCACGAAATACACGCTCAACAGATAATCTATCGCAAACCAGTATGACAGCATCACAAATAATGATTGAAAGTATGGTTGATGAATCAGCCAACGCTACGAAATCAACAACTCCAACTGATCTTTCCGATGAGTATCATAATGAAAATTCAACAATAACTATCACAAGCAATGGCCATTCTGACCTACAGTAAATATAGATCTATAGGGAAAGCAAGATTAGAAATTCTCATTCGTACATTTATTTTTGAAGTTTGTCGTCGTCAAACAATTTGAATTCATTTCATGATCGTCCGATGGAAGCAGCAACTGCGTTTCAATAAGAAAATCATATAATGGTTTTTTTCCTGTCAGTTTTATTTTATTCTATTAACTTGTTTTTTCATTTGAACACTAATTTTAGATTGAAGGCATATGTCATCGAGCAAAATATTCATTATCTAGTCTTCTATGATCAATTTTTTCTTAATTGTTTTTGTTTTTTTCTTATTCTCACTCGCTCAAATACTACAGTCTTCAAAAAACAAACACTAATAGCCATATATCCTCCGCACAAATAGGCTGAAACAAATCAGATTATCTTCACCCCGTCTATTGTTTTTGTTCATATAACGTTGTTGTACGTTTTTGTGTGTGTGTATGTGTGCGCTCTTGTTTTCTTCTTGCTTCATACCTATTGTTCTTATTTTTTTTCTAAATAAAACACTGTTCATGGTAATCAAATACAGAACAAGATCAGTCAAGCAAGTTTAACTTTTTAATCTGCTGTTGAAACAAAAGTACCAACGGACATATCAATAATACGAAGAATGACATGTCAAGATTAGCTGATCAATTGTTTTCTCGACAGAAATCAATCGATTAAAGGTTATCAACCATTCTGACTTTGAATATTACTATACCGAGTATTCTGAACTAGAGAATGTCGCACATGTCGAAAATAAAATGTAAAATGTGTCTACTGAATAAATAATGTTGTGTTCTACAAAGCAGACGGATTGAAAATAGGGAAAGTTTTTGAACTCCAGAGATTTGGATATAGAACAGAGAAGTGTTTAATAATAATAATAATAGTCAAAAATCGTATCGCTTTTCTAATGAAAGCCAGTGAAACTCATTGGAAAATAATCGAATAATAAAACGATGCAAGTCGAGAAATCTAATAAATATAGATGTAAGAATAGTTGCGAAAGTTTTAGTAAAAAGACCATGCCACATTTTTTTAGTCGTATGTCATAGTGTTTGAGCGAGATATGAAATAAACGACGGTAAAAAAGTAGTTGATTTATTCTCTAGGGAATCTCGTTCATTACACGTTGTTTTGTTATTTGCAATAGCATGTCAGATTTATGCAAGTTCAATGCCGCTAAGAAACTCTTCAAAAGAAAATGAGTGAGCTCCATTTTTTTTAAAATTTAATATCCGCTTGTAAAACAAACAAAAATTACAATTGATTATAATAATACTCCTTCGAGAATTTTCGAATGCACGATTAGAACTATGAATAGAGGAAAAAGCAAATAAATATTTCGCTGCAAAAATGTGACGACGTTTAAAAATTTATTGGCTATGTTTGACGAGATCACTTTAGAGTCCTGCAGGTTAAGACTTTTTTGTACCCTAACCCTGCCCTATCGTAAAACTTCGTACCCTTGTCCTACCCTGCCCTACGACGTTCTTACCCTAGCCCTACCCTGCCCTATAGACTTCGTAACCTTACCCTACCCTGCCCTAGGGGCTTTGTACCCTTACCCTACCCTATCACAGAGATTTTTCATTTTACACCCTATCAGATCCATAGAGCTTCAGGTCCAAGTAAAAGTTAGCATGAAGTTTTTCTTCATTTTGTTTCAATATNTTTTTTCTGATGTTCGGTTGTCTAGATCATCGCGTCACAAGTTAGCAATATATGATCTGGACGTCGCGTTTAAAAAAAAGGAACAAAGAAAGAAAACTCGCGCAGGATTACATAAATGCTGTGCTTCGCACCGTACTAATAAATATTTCGAACGTTTCTTAAAAGTAAAATGTCATTTACAACATCACCACTTAAATTTTACCTTCTCTCTTCCAAACCTCGCCCGTTTGTACTAACAATACGTTCATGTCGAGATGATTTCGAAGACATTTTTTATTACATTTACATGCACATTTACTAGACAAATAATCAAAAGTGACTGAACTCGTCAGCTTATGTAAAATAGTACTAAAGAATAGGCCATTGTTTTCCGTTCGTTGTTATTCTACCCATTCGATTTAGATTATGATATCACTCTTTACACTGTTTTTGATCAAAAAGGTGTCAAAAATATATATTAAGTTCTATTCTATAAAATTTTTATTTATATGAGCTACACCCTACTTATACCCTAAATATTTTTTTTTGTAACCTTACCCTACCCTGCCCTACGAGCTTTATACCCTAACCCTGCCCTGCCCTACGAGTTTTGTACCCTAGCCCTACCCTGCCCTGCAGGACTCTAGATCACTTTCGAATTTCATACAGATTTGTTTGTTCGAAAGGATGAACAAAATTCACGTGGGCAAGTCAATCCCATCGTCAGAAGTGGCACCGTCATCGCGGTAGATAAAATATTGGGTGGATGTAGATATGAGTCTTTCTGTCTTCCAAATCAACATCTGCACCAACAGATATCTGTCTTGGCGATGTTTGAAATTGTCTCCTCGAAAACAAAAATATCCCGTTTAATTCGATCGTAATATTAGAAGAGTCATTGATGAAATAACCACACGAACACAATATCAGTCTAGTCGATAGGAACGAGCAGATGCATTACATTTCATGCAGCGCAATTAGAGCAATCGAGTAACCATTGAAAGACAAACAGAAAAATGGATACAACGTTTTAAAAAATCTTAATTTTTCTCTCTCTCCATGAATAGAGTTTGCTTCATTTTTCGTTCATTTCTACTAATACAATAATAGCCTTCGTTCTTTTATCGTCCAATCTCGTATAAGAATTTTTTCTCAACGACATATCTACATTATTTAACATATACTTCTATCATTCATGGTCAATAGAATGTTATCATTACCTTTTTTGAAGTTTGCTCATTTCCGATATTTGTAAAGAAGTTTTATTCTAATTGTTAAAGTTATGATAACTACTTTTTGTGTCTTCAATGCCACCTAATGAACCGACTTTAAACTAACCGACTGTGAATAGACCCATTCACTAATGATTTTTATAATAGGAAAAAAAAGAAGTGATGTAATTTATATTTCAATGAATCAATAAGCAATTTAGAGACTTATTCTGAAGTTTACATCAGTGAAAAGAAAATTCATTTGTACAATGGTAAAATTATATAAAACAATTAACGTATTATCATATGATGAACTACAAAAAAATGCATTTACAAAGAACAATATTAAATCTCATTTGTCAACGTTCAATCATATTCAGTGATAGTAATTACTTTAATATGTAAATATCCGTGTTGTTGTTTTTATTGTTCTTTAGCCTCCTGCTAATTGCCTATAATAAACATACGCATTGTGAAACGATTCACTGAGCCGATCAATATATATGATTATAGAGTAAAAGAAAAGGAAAAAGGAAAAGAGACAAAACGATTTGTTGGTCACACTTATTTTGACCATGAAATCATTTTATGTATGCGATGAGTCTTATCTTCAATATATATCATATGTGTACAGTTCGCTGATATCTTAATAGTGCTCAATTGTCGAAAAGGGGGCTGGCACTTCGCTCAATGTCAATGGACTGCTATCTTTCGCGTTGTGTCGAGGGACCTCATCATCACCTCACGTTAATATGAAGAAGAAGAAGAAAATCAGATCATCAACGATAACACAAGAGAAAGTATTTTGTACAGTTGAAGAATGAGCAGGTGCATGTCTATGCATGTATACATGAATAGGAGTTCTTATGAACAATTCAGTTGTGTAATTTCACTAGAGCATCAGCTTGATTATTAGATTCGCCTCGTTACAATCAAATTTCAAGTATCTATTCGTTTTCTTGTTATCGTTCAATATTTATATAATTGAGACATCGTAAGCAATAGTTCACCTGCTGTTGCTGCTCGATTGAAGAGAATAGAAGAAAAGTCATTTTCTCTCTCTAACTAGCTTTGATTTCTATCCCGTTGTTTTCTCTATAAACGACAAGACAAGTAACCCAGAAGGAACGTCGAACAAACAGATTTGTGCCTTTTCTTCTGATTTTTATCAGCTTGATTGATATCAATCTTAAAATTGTTTATAACCACATGTGTCTTGTCGAGACACTTGTTTTTCAAGAGATGATCATTGTCATAAAGTGAGATCGACAAGAGTTTAATTTGATCGATGTTTGATTAGAAGATTTGACCCTGTGTGTGTCGAACGTCATTCGTTCATTCATGGTCAATGAACACAATCAGTTCGCGTCTTTTCTTATCTTCTTGCAAATACCAAACAAGTGCTTATACTTTATTGCAAAGTCTGGAATCTTTCTTACTAAATGATGAATAAGATTAATGAGAGCGGCCTCTTTGCTCATGTATAATATGTCGAGTTATCTTTTTCTATGAGTAAGATTCAACAGTCATTTTAAAAGCATATAAGAGACAAGTAATAATGATCTATCAAATGTTCTATTTCTTCCCCTGATCAATCAGTTTTGTTACTTGAATGAACATGTTGTTCTTCTTGTTGCTATTGTCAAACTCTATTACCATTAACACACATGCGCTCGCTCGCTCCCTCTCCCTCTCTTTCTATTCTGTCCGAAATCTCTTCCTCCTCCAATTGAATATCGTTTCTCTCGCTGTCTCCCTCCCTCCCTCTCTCTCTCTCTCTCTCTCTCTCTCTCTGTCTTTCGTACAATCGATGGCACAGCCAATTAAGGTGCATTTAGCCTCGAGGATACCGCTACAGACCAGACACTGTTTGTGCTGTCCATCAAAACGTGTTAGATATATCATTATTGTGGTGTTATAGTGCCTGTATTTCTCTCTATCTCTACATATCTTTATTAAAACTGGTGAGTAGACTTTTGCATATGTGTTACCTTGACAAAATAGCTCGAATTAAGCGCATTAATGATGAAATACACTATTCATGGTTCGCAGTTGCTAAAAGGTCCTTTTTTCACCTGTATAAATGAAATACATACGCATGTTTGTGATACAGTAGTCGAATTGTTTTATGCAAGTGGACGCATATGTATATCCAAACCGAGTGAACTTTTTCTAATTAATCGGATATGTGTGGACCGACAAGTATAGAGAAAGACAAGAGAAATAGGTATATCACAAAACCGAAACCAGATGTGAGACAGACAGAAGAAAAAAAAGAAGAAGAAAAGGCAAAGGCAAGGGACGTATCGAGCACGTCATAAATTACGATTATGATTATGAGCTCATCATTACTTGTCGGGACAGTTAGTTTACGTAGGTAGATGAATTCCTTCTTGTGTTTCAATTGAGAATTTTCTTTGCAATTTGGCTTTTCTCATCGTTTTTCTTTTGAGTGTGTCTATCGTGTGATTTCGTCACTTGCGCTTATCAACATAGATGATGACATGATGCCCTTTTTGTTTCGCTTGCTGTTTCCAATATTGACCTTTTTTTTTTTAAGATACGATTTTATACAATAACGTGTAATATGATGTTGGTGCGAACAATTTTTCTTCTATTGGTATTAACAACTGCAATCTCATCGAATGCATTCTATGGAAAGTGGAAGAACAAATTGAAAACCTTAAAAACAAAAACTAATGATAAAATTATTGACAAAATACAAGGAAAATGTAAGTGTGAATTGAATATAGATATTTAAAGAGTCAATAATCAACGATAAACATGTTTCATATTGTGTGTACATTCATTTTTCTTCCCTTTCATCTTGATCGTTAATCTAGAAGTATAGTCTCGATGTATTGATATATATAGATTGAAAGAAAGAAAAACAAAGATACTCGATCTTGAGTTATGCACGCGACAAACACTCTATGTCCTCCGTCTCGCGACAATGCATTTTCAAAGTCAATTATCGTTCATTCAACGTTGAGATGATGGTCAAAATATTTTATGTCTAGTATACATATATATATATATATATACACACACATTAAGAGGGCCAATGTAATATTACATATATATATATATATACAGACACTTGTCTGAACAATTACATACGAAAGAGATCATCAGACACGCTTTCGTACCTTGATAGAGTACTAAACAATTTTAATGGAGACTATTATCATAATGTAATATAACAAATGTGTATTGTTATTCAAGTATCTTTTCATTTTTCATAACAAAACAAGAAATAGAGATCGAATCCGATTATGTTTGTAATGTCTTGAAATTGGTGCTGAACCGTTTAAATAAAATAAATAGCCTTGTATAATTATGAAAAGTTTCATAAAAGAATCATAGAGTGTCAACTAGTCAATTAACTATCGAAAATGTTCTGTTTAACGGACAGGATTAATTTTCATGATTGCTCATTTTTTTCTTCTAAGCGCAATGTCCAACTACTTGGCAATATTTTGCTGCATCTTGCTATTGGAAATTTCCGAGAAAACATTCATGGTCTGACGCACGAAACGAATGTGCTCGATTTCGAGCTGATCTTGTTGTTATTGACAATGATAATGAATTTGATTATATTGCAAAAAATATTACTGATTTAAGAGAAGATTTCTATGTTGGATTTCATTATTTTAATGGTAGGTTTAGACAATTTTTGTTTTGCTATTTTAAAACGAATTCAATATTAGATTCATGGTCATGGATCAATGGTCAAGCTCTATCGGATTACACGTATTATACAGAAGAAGATCTATGTGAAGATCGATTACCCATTGAGCCCCGTCATCGATCATGTGGAATTCTTGATCGTGCACGTCGAGGGCGACTATGCATGAATGTCGATGTGTGCGATCGAAAATTAAATTTTATTTGCGAAAAAGGTTTCGTTAATGAATAGAATATTTTTTCGGTGTCTATAAAGATTTTATGTTTAGTCGTGGACCGGTGCAGTTCATTGCATGATACATGTGGTAAACATGGCCGATGTATAAATACAGACGATGGGCAATTTCGTTGTGATTGCCATTTTCTATTCGGCGGAGATCAGTGTAGATCGAGTAGGCAACAAAAAAAAGAAGAATTTAATTGAATTATGATTTTCTTATTTGTTTAAAATTTATTTTAGTAAGCCGTGAAGGTGGCCAAGTTCTTATGGCAGCAATATTTGTTTTTACTGCATGCATTACGCCAATGCTTTTTCGATCAATATTTAGAATGTTAAAAAGAAAATTAAATCGGACATCGACAATATATGGTAAACTTCATTCTTTAAACAACAGGTAGGAACAAGAAGAAAATTAATTAAGAATAGAATATAAATATTGATGAATTCATCGTGTCGATGGGTTATATAATAGAACAAGGCTCTTTTTATTTAGTCTTTGTGAAGTGATGCAAAGATAGGCAGATGATGATGATGATGTGTGATTTTTGAATGGAATACTCAGTAATTAATAGACAAAAAAAAATCAATCATTCGTTTGATTACGAGTGATGTAATGAAAAATCGATGTAGTTACACTCATCATCTAAGACGAGGCGAACAGTTTCGGAAACAAAAAAGAATGATATTCCTCTGACATTGTTTTCTGATCGAAAGGTCATCTCGTTTATTGTTTGTCTAACTTCAACTATAAAGAAGTTTATTTGATGACATGAACTCTTCTTTTGATATGTACCGAAGTCGATGGAATTGAAAAAAAAGCCTTTTAGGAGTTATCGTCTGAGGTATTTTAGTGCGGTAGTCAAATAGGTAGACTCTTACTTAAAACGAGTTTATTTATGAAATATTGTATAAATTGAAATTTCACCGTTTGCTTGATTTTGACGTGTTGTTTCTGTCTAAAAAATCATACAGAAAAAAATCCTTTTAGAATATAAATTGCTCACTTCGCAGTGATTCGTTTATTTAGTTTTTTTAAAGACGAGAAAACAAAAGTGTCGATCAAGGGGCGTCAAATCTCCGTTCATATAGATCCGGTGCTAAAATACCTTGAAAATCACAGATCTTTCGATTTCATTGAGCGAAAAAAATTGTATTTTTAAAAACAAGGGAGGCGTAACGTCCACCTATTCCCCCCCCCCTCCCCGTGGTTATATAGAAGAAACCATTGTGTTGGTATCCTACATTTTTCCATTTATTTTTATTCTAGTGAACATTTACTCTCCAAACATAAAGTCAAACAAGAAAAAGAAATTGATGGTTTATTAAAACTTCTATTCAGTATTCAATATTCAAACATTTGTAATTCCTCGACATTCATTATTATATTCAGTACACTTTTATTAACAAGTTTTTGCTTATTAACAATTCCATTTATACAATATCGTTTTTCATTTTCATCTCTATTCAATCATACCAATGTAACATTAACCTATAAGATAAATTCAACATTGCATCTTCTACATACTTGTCGTAATTTTGATAATTATACCTGGAAAAATTTTGTTTCATTACCATCAGCTCTTATCGTTACCTTAATTTGTTCGTTTTTAAAAAAGCGTGATACTCTTTGTTTACGATTTTGTAATGGACGGCCAGCATTACCAATGCCATTGAATATATTCGATAAACGACAACGTCATGTTATTGCAGCTATATTTGGTATTTCAGCGAATGAAGTTTTGAAAATTCTCGAAGAACTTTTAATTCGCTTTAATGCAAAGCAAGTTACAAATGATAAAGGAATTATTATTGAATTATTGCAACATATTGGTGACGTATTACTGATTGGGATGAGATATTTTCCTTTATTAATCAGGTAAATTTAGCTTTGAAATATTAGATTTAACTTTTAATATATTTTTTTTTCGATAGTGTCAATACTGCACATCCGATATCCTATGCACTTGGATTAATCTATACATTTATCGATGGTACATATACATTAATACATACTAGTTATTGTTCGCGTTTTTCATTATTTCGCTTTGATCGAACGTTAATTTTACAATCATCAGCAACAAATGAAATAATTCAATCCGATACGATTTATGTTATGCTAAGAAATTTACCGCATTTTACATTGGTTTCATTTGTATTTGTGAAATTTTTCTATCTACTAATTCAACAATTGAAATGTCGTTGTTGTCAACAAGCAGCAATGATGACGAATCATAATCACAATGAAAAAGTTCATCAAGTATCATTGGTTTCATCGGTACTTTCACTTGATTTATTACTACCGGATTATCAAACAAAACCAGAATTTTATTATACACAAGGTAAAAATAAAATGCGCGATAACAGAGATTCTGAGTAAATTTATGAATTTCCAAAAGGTTTATTTTTAGTGATGCAGTGTTTCTTTTTTAAAAAAATCAGATTTTTAAAATGACCGGAGGTTTGGCGGCGCTCCGCCATGCCCTACCACGGTCACACCACTATTTCTGAACTAAATATGTTTGAAAGTCATTCCCTAAGAAAAAATCTTACTTCCAATAAATCGAGACGGTATTATGAAAAATTCATATTTTGTTTTTTCGCTAGGTTTATTAAAAAGTAAAGAATCATCGGACATGTATTATAACAATGCATTAACACGTCCGTTTGCCAAAATCTATCGTTGGCATCGTTATTTTACATTTTCAATACAAATTCTATGTACATACACTGTTGTACTTGTTGTTATTTATAATCTGACATATTTGTTAACCTTCTATGGTATACATACAATAAAAAATCAGCTTGATCGTGTGCATTTTATACTACTTAGCCAATTGAATTGGAATATTGAATGGGGTACATCGTTTATCAATGATATATATCTTTGTTCAATACTATCTGTGATTATCTATTGCACACAAATCTTTAATGGTTTAATTAAAATTCAGCAGCATTTAATATCAGCGTATGCTGGTAAATATATTGATATACCCCCGAGACATAATTTTTCAAATAATGAATTAATATCAAAATGTTTACATTTTTCTGGATATCTGTGTGGTTATACAGCATGGGGTTTTATTATATTTTATAAAATATCGTTTGTGTTTTGCCTTTTACTTCGTCTTTGGATCCGATATGATTCACGATGGTTTCAACATATATTGGCGTTATGTTTACCGATTGTTTTAGTTTACTTGTTAAAACATATACTCGTGTCATTACTATCGGAATTTGTTTTCTTACAAAATTTCGGTCGAACACCATCATTGAACAATCGTCGAATCTATTTTATATTTAATTATTTTAATTTCTTTTTCGATTGTTTTCTTGGCATTTTATCATGTTATATAAGAGTATCAAAAGCACTTTTAGCATCACTTTTATTTATGGGACGATTGGATTATTCATTTATGGGAAGAAATCTAGAAAGACTCGATCAAGGTTATGCAACTTATGTCACTTTTATTCATATGGAAATTATTCATGGACATCCTATTTTGGGTACAAATTTTAGTTTTTATTTCTTATTAATATTGGAAAGCGGAGATTGAGACAAAATTTTTACAATACATTTGTTTCTCTTAGCTTCAGTAATTGCGAATACTTTTGCCACGCTATCATTTTCTCTCTCAGAAGCAAAGTATGAAAATTTTACCCAGTCTACATTCATATCTGAACATCTCATGTATTCTTTATTGCAAAGGCTTCATGATATTAGACTTGATTTGAAATTCGCATGAGTATAAATCCCTAAAACTATTTCTTTGCAGCGACATCTCTTGAATAAGGAACTAGGCGTAAAGACTAGATCGATAGTGTTTGGAGTCTACACTTGTCTCATTTCTCAGTAACCTGTACAACTACTTGATTGGTGAACGGATTCGAGATAACAATTTTTATTCATTTTAGTAACTTTCTGTGATATGGTTTGGCATGATATTGAACGTAAACGTCATATAATACATCAACATTCAAAAAATAACAAAATTATTTATGATAGTATTACACAAACTAAAGTACATTCAACCCGCTTTAAATGGCATCTTTTTTATACTTTGATTCGCAATGAATACTTGAAATTTTTACGTAAACATGCATTATTAGTTGTCGCCAATAGTACAGGCATTATTTCTTCCACAACAGCTGTAGCTGTTGTTCTAGGAAGAATTCCGTCAAACGAAAAATCTATTCACAATGAACAAAATTCATCTATTCTGTTGTACGATCGTCCAATAATGCGGCAGCCACCAATCCCAGCTAAACGATCCGGTTATCGATATAATTTTGATTATGAACAAACAAGTGATCTTCGTTTTATCTATCAACAATTGAAATCTTTAACGACTAACGTTTCTCAATTGAAGAATAATAATCACAATCTCCAACAAGATGAACTATCAAAACAAGAACATCATCATCACCACGAACAAATCTATTTACCGCCAAATCAATCCATAATAAAAAAACAATCTCAAGTAACTTGTACATTTCCTGATGAGTATTCATCATCAAAATTTCATCACACGCCGACAATACAGCGACGATAGGACAGTTACTTTTTTCTTTTGTTTTGTTTTCTAGAAGTCAAAAAACAGTTGTTTTTATTGTTGTTCTTGTTGTTCTTGTATTTGCTTTTTTAGTTTTTAAATAAAATAATTTTAGTTCTCAACATCGACTTGTATAGACATCTATATTTCGTAAAAGGGATTTCTCACCTAACTTCACCATTCATGTGTATCTGTAGTGAGTCAACAAAATGGCGACCTTGAGTCATCAATCATGAAACTGAATGAGTGAGCGGCAGAAGCACAATAAAAGAGACAAAAACACGGCATTTTATTGAGAACCCCTTGCTATTTAAAATTATGGCGACAGCACCACGGCTTCGTTCATCAACAGTCGAGAGAAAAACTTTTGCTATCGTTCGTCCTCCATCATTAGCGAAAGCCACGAAAAATACCACAACTCCAACCGAAAGAACTATTGATCCGTCAGACAAACGAGTTGATAATATTCGTATTCATCTTTTAACTAATAGAATACATCGAAAATTAACATTCGCTGAGCCAACACTTGTTTTCGATAGATTTCTTTATTTAGGCGGCATTAAGTCCTTATATGAAAAGGTAAACCTTTTATTCATATTGTTCTTTGTTTTGATTAATCATTTTCGATGACTAGAATCGTGCTACTCGTCTAAATATTACTCATGTTCTATCCGTCGTTTGGATTCGACCGAAAAGAGATATGATACCTCCGAACGCCAAACATGTTTTTATAAAAGCTGAAGACTCTATCGTATTTGACATGACGCCCTATTTCGAGCAAGCCTGTCGATTTATTGAAGAAGCACGGCAATCGAATGGTCGTGTATTAGTTCATTGCGCTTGTGGAGTATCTCGTTCGACAACAATATGTTGTGCATATCTAATGAAACATCATTCAATGTCACTCGAACAAGCATTGACTCAGGTTCGTTCGCAGCGTCCTATCGTGCGACCAAATACTGGGTTCCTTCGTCAATTAATTCGTTTTAATGAACAAATAGAATGCGAAAAAGCAAATGTTGATAAACTTACAGAAAAACTAGAGAATATTTAACATTGAAATGACATACATTTTTTTATTTTTGAGTAATTTACTTTTAGATAGTTTAAATTATAATAAATGGCGTCTGGTTCATCCGGTGATAATGATGATAAAAAGAAATCTGGATTTGGTGGTGCTAAGTCAAGTTTTCTTGGCAAAACTGGTACTGATGAAGCACCTATGGATAAAACCTATTACAATATTCTCAATGTGTCACCAACAGCCAGTGCATCTGAAATAAAAAAAGCATATTATTCACTTTCACTTCAATATCATCCCGATCGAACGCAAAGTCTGAATGAAATAACACGACGAGACTATTCCGAAAGATTCAAACTTATTTCTCAAGCTTATAGTAGACTATAAACTAATTGTTTATGAAATAGAATTTACGATTCTTTTTCCTTTAGGCATTCTCAGTGATCCAGAAAAAAGAAAGCTTTACAATAGGTATGTAAAAAAAAATATTGCATAAGACTATTTTACGGTGAATCATTTGATTATGTTGTTTCATTTCAAGTTAAGCATAAGACTAAACTAACTATTTGTTAGGATATGAAGATTTGTTTTCATAATTAAAGACCAGTATTCTATAAAATTTAGCTCTACTCTAACAGTTATACAAAATTCTAATCTCGTGCAATTTAATTGGAATGGGATTGACAATAGCAGAAATCTCATGAGTTTCAAGTTATAGTAATAATTATTTTTCAGCGAAAGATCGATGTGATGTGTTAAACTGACTTTCATAGAATCTTATTCATTTTATTACATCAACACATTAGATAATTCTTCTTTTTTAAATTTAGATATGGTAAAGATGAACGTCTTGTAGGCAACGGTTCAGCTGGAATGTCAATGGAAGATTTTGATGCGGAAGAATTTTTCCGTTTAATGTTTGGTGGGGAACAATTTATGAAAATTATCGGTGATTTCGAATTAGCTAAATCATTTAAACATGCAATTAGTGAGATAATCAAAGATGCCGAAAATAAAGGCACAGAAGAAACACGTGAACAGAAAGAAGAAAAAATGCGAAAACGCTTGGCATATGCTGAAGAACGTTCACAAGCACGTGAAGAACGTGTAAAACAATTAGCCGTAAATCTCAGTTATAAACTATCGATTTTTACTGAATCAATTCCGATGAACAATAGTGAATCCCAATACGAACAAGTATTAAATAATTTTATGGAAATAACACGTTTAGACATTCCGAATTTACTGAATGCACCATACGGTGAACATTTACTGCATGCTATTGGCTATATTTATGTGTCAAAAGCAAAATTATGGTTAAATAAATTTGATTCTCAAGAAGGACATATTGGTAAACGTATGTTAGGATTTGGTAAACATTTTCAATCATCATGGAAAGAGCGTGTGCACGTTGTTAAAGAAACTGTTAAAACAGTTAAATGCGCTGTTGAATGGGGACAGTCAATGTCGAAATTAGCCCAAATTGCTGATGAAGAAGCAGCAGCCTCAGAAGATGGCAAAGATGCTCAACATCCATTTCAACATCATGCCGGGCATTTAGAGTATGAAGGATATGTTCCTGAAGAATCGGCAGCTTCAGCTTCACCACCACAATCAAAACCAAATACAGTAACATCGTCTCCAGGCAAAACTAGTAGTCACGGAAAATCTTCATCGTCACAACAAGTGCAGTTAACCGAAGAAGACAAACGAAAACTGGAAGCGGACACAGCTATTAAATCTATGGAAGCACTGTGGCGTGCAACAAAACTTGAAATCGAGAGTATCGAACGAGATGTATGCGATCGAGCATTGAACGATCCATTATGCACGCGTGAAACCCAACGACGTCGATGTATTGCTCTATTAAAAATGGGCGAATTATGGCAAGAAGCGCGTGATAATCGAGCATCATCAACAAATTCTAGTTCATCGTAGATCTCTATTCTTCTTGTGTTGTATCATCCAATTTATTTATTTATGTTTTCCTATTTTGTATGCCTGCTCCTTTTCTCATTTGCAAGCATGTGTGTGGGTCGAGGCAATAACAAAATATTCCATTCTTCATTTTCTTTCTTTCGTTTTGTTTTTGTATTAAAAATTAATTAGACGACGTAAAAAGTTTATCGATATTATTCTCGTGTACTACAATTTTTGCTATATTAAAAATTGACAAGCATATAAAAGTATTTTTTATCAATATCTCACTTCAGACTTTATTCAAATTTATTTGTATTTCTTTCATTTTGTTTTTGTTTAGTAAAACGACCTAATACCTAATAAATATGTTTTTACTGTTCTCTGCAAGCACGTATACACAATAATTGATAGACATAAAATATTATGAAATATGTAGAATTTCGAATAAAATAATGATTAGAAGACAATGTTGAACTTGCTTTAAAACAAATTTATTAAAATACTTAACATAAAACATTAGCTTTTGCCGATCACAAGAAGAGTTTTGTTTTATTCTATCTCTTCAGGGACAACATGTCGTCGCCATTCTTCTATTTAATCTTTTAGAAATTCAATAAGGAAGTAGTTCATATATTATAACGAGATTTTATTCTACGATAATCTATTAACAGTGCTTGGCATGATCTATGCGCGTGTGTGTGAAAATTAAATACAAAAATGAGTGCCATCAGTAAATTGACCGAGAATGTTTCGTTATCTAAAAAAATGAAATAATACCACGACATCATGTTTCAAACTTCATTTCGATTAAAAAATTAATTTAAATTTAATTTCATCGGAACATCGTGAGTTGAAAATGTAACGGCAGCTTCTACATGAGATAAATTCGAAAATCATTTTTATACACAAGTTTTATTTACAGTCTTTCGAGTGTAGATACTAAAACTATTCAGCAGTATCATGTAGAGGCACACGGATGGGAGTAGATGTCGGTATCAGAGACCGAAACGAGTGACAAAAGTGCCATTCGGTTCGATTCGACTTTTTAGGGCTTGGAGTCGGATTCGATTCGGGTTTTCAGGACCGGGACTCGATTCGATTCGGCTTTTCTGGTTTTTCAAAATTCCAATTCGATTCGATTTTATTCGACTCAAATTGGGTTTACAAAACATGGTACTCACTATTACATAGTATTGCTGTTTTCAGATAGTCATCTTCGTTAGATGAGAATAGTCTGTCGATCTTGTATAGAAATATGTTGAATAAATATAATTTATGAATATATGCATAAGAATTATTCATTTTTTTCAAGAAAGAATACACAAAACATAAATTAATGAATACATCTAAGTAGACTAACTAAATACAGCTGGAACTTATCCAGATCAACGACACCCGCACCCTCTTATACTAGTCAACTGCCCTTGATCATAACACTGTAGAACAAAAAAAATGATTTTCAATAACCGAATGAAACTGAAAAGAACTGAATCGATTCGATTCGGGAGTTTTGAAGTTCCATTCGGAGTCGGTTCGATTCGCCCCAGACGAATAGAATCGCATTATTCGGTAATTCGATTCGATTTCGGTCTCTGGTCTGTATCTATTTCATTTACGTCATACAGTCACATCTACATGACGATTATGTTTCAACAACAAAACTATCGTTTATGATATTCACGATAAAAATTTTATGGTATATTTTCGTGAAAAAAGAACCACTATAGTTATCATATAGGAGTCGATGTTAATGATGAAAAAGATTCAAACCAAGTATTCTTGATTTGTTATTTTTCACAAAGAAAAATTCGCCTTTTTATTCTTGTTAATCTTTGTACGTCATGCAGCAGTTGTATTTATGTGCTCAATATTGCAGCCGTATCTTTCGACTTAGATTGAGCCGAGAAATTCATTGAAATCATCATTTTTGGTGATTTTATTTGCTTATAAAAATACTTGAATTGCTCGATTCAGATAAAGACTTTTATTCGATATTTTTAAGACATGAAAAATTTAGAAAAGACAATGAGTATTTACGTTTTTAAAAATACTCCGTAAACTAAGTATTGTTTTCTCTTCTCAGATCAGACAAAGAGGTATTTAGTCCTATTTCTTTCAATTGTGAACTGGTTTTAGTACGTAAACGTAAATGAACATGTGGGTGTCGATGGATGAGACACAAACAAATAATATTTCCGTGAGAGAGATCGACCAAAAGATGAGAATGCCAGAACGAGAAAATAAAAAACAAGCAAAATAATCGAACTGCGGATATCTCATGGTTGACATCGATGACAATCATTTTGTTATGAAAGGCCAAATGAATGCACCGTTGCACGACATTCTGTCTGATCCCACAATTAATACAATACAACCAACTGTGCTGACAGATGTAGTCTGGAATAATGCTCTTTATCCCCATGCCAGCAATAGAATCGATAATGATAGCGATACTAGCGAGCATCTAGGCGCATAAACTAAGAAAATTGGCTTCTGATCTTTCATCGAGAGGAGTGACATATACAAACAGTAATGTTGTGGTTTATTCCTAATATCAGGGATATGTAATGATAAATATATTTATACTTGGGAGAAATGCTCTTAAAGTATGAAGTAGAACGCAAAACATATATGTATACTTGGAAGAAATGCTCTTAAAGTATGAAGTAGAACGCAAAACATATATGTATACTTGGAAGAAATGCTCTTAAAGTATGAAGTAGAACGCAAAATATATTTATAGATGTGTGTATTTCGTCTTTTTCTATCTGCTGTTTTATACATTAGTGGTGGAACCAGGATTTCAGTCTAGAGGGAGCTCAGCTCCATCTTAATTATTCAAAGTCTACTTACGATAGTAAAATTGTTTTTTGAAAACTGTCATGTTTGAGTCAGTTTTCTGAGCCCTAATATCTTATTCAATCAGTTCTTGCTCATATATTTATAAACATTATGTTTATATCAACATATGAATGGGATTCTATATTTAAATGTATTTCATATCACTTAATCACATTAACAAAATTCTACTATTTTTATGTTGTATGGCAAATACATCAATAACCTTTTCAAAATCTATGTCAAATTCTCTTTCAATAGCCAATACACTAAGATCACTAAGTCTTTCATCACCCATCGAATTTCGAGCATAATTTTTAATCAATTTCATCCTGGAAAACGACCTTTCACATACGACGGACGACACAGGAAATGTGACAGCACCTTTGATCAAAGCCACAGTTGAAGGAAATGCTTGTTTCATTGGTTTTAATTCATTAAGTATATCCATTATAGTTGACAATTTAGTATCTTTAATCACGGTTTTTGATTTACAATTGGCATCGATAGAATTACTTGAAATTGAAAGACTTGCTCATAAAAAATGAAGAGAAAAAAGGTCTAAGTTGTTCTTAGTCGATTAAAAATAGGCAAACGGCTATGCTAACTTCTAGTATTTGCATTGAAATTATTTAGTAAAGATAATTTGACAGTAACAGCCTAAATAGCGACAAAATTTTCTAGAGGGAGCTCAGCTCCCCCAAGCTCCCCCTCTGGCTCCGCCACTATTATACATATGCAGAAGTGATATTGTTAACCAATAGAAAATGTTCATTATTGAATAATATAAATGAAGCGAGAAAAAACGAGTATATTCAGGGGTCGATGAAACCATATAGAGCTGTATCATTTTTTTCCCAATGTTTTTTTCTCTTCTCTGAATGTTTATATAAAGACAATTTACTTCGAATCGTATCATTTACATATTCTTCACGGCCATATTTGCTGTAAGATTCTTGAGTTGTTATACAAACAATATTTATCATTACTCGAACTTTGTTAAGAAATAATAGAGTCAGTTACTCTAACTTTTATTCTTCCGATTAATTCAATACGTAAGCGGCGTTACACGCTAGTAATATTCTTCTGTTTCGAATAACAGTTTCATATGATGCTGAAAAAGAAAATCATGAAAGTAAGACTTCTGATTTCAAATATTCTTTCAAAGTTTTCCATTATTTTTCTATGATTCAATAAACAATCTTTCGCAAACTTTCAGTAGAGAATATATTCATATCTCATAAAGCATTTAAAAACAGCACACAACAACATATTGTGTTTTTTGGATGTAATTTCTTCATGAATGTCTATCAGTGACTGATTAATCTAGTGAGATATAGCATTATTTCGAAAACTTGATTATTCGTTGTCAAATCTTAAAACACTATAAAATTATTTTCTTATGTGATACGAATAATAGTGGCAGACACCTTCATTCGTGTGTCTGCAGTATTCGGATTGAGCACGCTTTTATTTGATTGTATCAACTTTACGAGATGTTTCTGATAGAGATATTAAGATTATTATACTTATTCTGAATATTAAACGAACTTTGTATACGCTACAGGATGTTATTCGATAAAATAATTCTGAGAGAACTCAATAAAATTTCGCAGATGAAACATTCCAAGAATCATTTTCCAATAAATTCATACTGATGTGAAATAAAAAAATACCACGGGTAAAATTTCTTTGTTCTAGAAAAAAAATGGTCCTTACCGACGAACAAAAGAAAATTGTCCAATCGACAGCACCAGTTTTAAAAGAACATGGAAAACAAATAACATCAGTATTTTATCAGCATGTACAAGAAGCTCATCCAGAACTTCGAAACATTTTCAATCAATCAAATCAAACAACAGGCAGCCAACCTCTGGCATTGGCATTCACCCTCTATTGTGCTGCGGAACATATTAATCATTTAGATGTTCTCATGCCACAAGTAGAACAAATTGCTTACAAACATCGTGCTCTTCTAGTTAAACCGGAACATTATCCTATTGTCGGAAAATTTTTATTAGAAGCAATTGCTGAAGTTTTGGGCGCCAAAGCGACACCGGAAATATTAGAAGCATGGAAAGCTGCATACAGTGTTATTTCTTCGATCTTTATCGGTTTGGAGAAGAAATTGTATGCCAAACTTGGAGACGATGAACGAGATAAAGGTTTTATTTCATTTAAGATTGTTAGTAAAGAAACAGTTGCTGCTGGGCCTACTGTCGCATTGACACTCGAACGTGCAGATGGTGGCAAATTATTCGACTACATCCCAGGACAATATATTGCAGTACGTCTTGAAAAAGGTGGTTTGTTTCATAATCGACTCTATGGTTTGACTGAGCCATCCAATGGCAAGACATACAGCATCGTTGTGAAACAAGAAGCTGACAATGCACCGAATGCCACAATCTCGAATGAAATTATTAACAACCTCAATGTTGGTGGTACGATTTTAGCTACAAATCCTTCGGGCAATTTTACACTTGTCAACGATGCCAAACATAATTTATTCATCGCTGGCGGTGTCGGTATTGGCCCTCTCTCGACTATGGTTCAATATTTGAGTGCAAATGGAAAATCATCTTCGGGATCATTGATTCACTGTGTACGCACTGCAGGTCATGCTATTTTCGCTGATAAATTACGTGCTGCTCTTCCAGCAGGACAATACGTACTATTAACAGCGGATCAGCCAATATCGAAAGCAATTCTTGCAGGCAAATTACAACCAGATACACAAGTTTATGTGAGTGGCTCAGAAGCTTTTATCAGCATCGTTGATGCTGTTCTCGTGGAATGTGCTCATCCAAAATCACAAATTCATACAGAAGCAATTGGACCATCACTCAGCATATTAAAAAGATGCTGCTAAGAAAGAAGTTGCTGTCGAAGTAATTCAAACTCACTACAACAAGTGAATTTTTTACCACTAACCATTTTTTCCTTCCATTGACTTGATTGGCACGATGCGTTTATTAAATATAATGTAGCTTGCCCTTTTTTTTCATGCTGTGATTAACTAGTTTTAGTTTTTTTAAAATTCTATTCAAGCGATACTCCCTTTTTTAGCATGATGCTAGGATTTCTTTATGCTTAGTATTGCAAAAATAAAAAAATGGATTGAAATTGATTTTCAAAGTAATTTTATCTGCATCGTATTTCTATTTCTCTTCGATATAAGGATATTACTCGAACAAAACACACACTTGTGCCAAGAAGTACGTCCCTCGTAAAGGACTAGATTAGATAGGGGTTATAGAAAACCCTGGACGTCCACTCGTAAGTCATAAAACTAATGAACATATAGTCATGACGTAATTGAACTTACAGTGCTAATGGACATTCTTGCATATGACAACACATAATCACCCAATGAACAGTACGTAATCTTTCTGCGTATCTTTTCTTTCTAGATATCTTTTTCTTTCTCCGCATCCCCTTCTCTCTATGTATCTTTTTCTCTCTCTAGGTATCCTCTTTTTCTCTCCCTCTCTATTTCTCTCTCCTATTTATATTTTCCCTTATTCTCTCTCGAAGATAAAAACTCGCGTTGTATGAGCAATAAGGAGGCAGTCGAGTTCAGTTCTAAACCATTCAAGTTAGAAGAAAGTTGTGCTTTGTAATACGTACGATTGTATTCGGTTGTATTGAAAGACAACACACCGAACTCATTTAGGACAAGAATAAACTTATTGTGTGGAATTGTTGTTAATATTATACACGCAATGGCTAATATATATATAGCTGATACTGATCCACATTTTTGTTGTCCATCATCCTATTAGGATATATACGCGATTCTATATATTTCGATAGTTATTTGAAGAATATTTACGCGACCAAATATTTTCCCGTTACAACACCAACAAGCTGACATTCCCTCAACGTATGAAACCATGGAAGACGGCATTTTAGACATATAAGAAATTCTACGATTATGAGCGTGAAGTGAAAAAAAGTTAAATTTTAGATGTAGGGAAGCTTCTTTCTCAGCAAAGTCTTGAAAATCTTCCTTCTACAGAGTTGATTGAATTTTGGTTCCACATTACCAACTGAAACAATAGTTGTTGTTACTGTTTAATTCTTGTATGTTAACGCTATTTTCGAAAAAAGGAGGATTTTGGAGGATTATCATTGGAAATATTAAGGAGGATCTAATGTAAAAAAGGTGGAATATAGGAGGATTTCTGTCTTCCCAAAAAAATAAGAATTCTACGCAAGTTCGAGCTTATTAGTATTCTGAAAAGGTTTTATTAAAACATTTAACATAATTTCAACAAATGTTTATGTATACATTTTAAACAAAAAGCTCGAAAAAGCAATCACTTAGAACAAAATATAATAAATGAAATCAAACAACTGATTATTACAAAGAAAATGATCTAACTGTAGTGCACCATAAATGTAAACATTAGTATTAGTCGCAATAAATATTTACGTCTTGAATTAATACTGGTATAGTTTGTACAAAAGAAAACAACCTTATTTCGAGTTTCAATCCTTTGGACTTGTAATTATCAAGAATAAAAATATTCGAAGGTAAAATAAATATTTATGTATAAAGTCTTAATAAGTATATAGCATTAAAAGACGATCTAACTACAACTTGCGTAAAGCACAATACATGAAGAAAACAAAAGAAAAAGCGAACGACATTTATACATCGGCTTGTCCAAGCGTAACGCTGTGACGTTTTGGCAAATTGTTTTTGAAATATCTCAAAAACTATGATAGCTGGAAAGTTCATTCAAACGCCATTCCGCGCAGCTCGACGAGTTCTATATGGACTATAAATTTGATGTTTTTTGCTTGAACTCTATAGTTTACAGAAATGGTTTATAGTCACGTAACACTGTGACGTAAAAGGCCCCTGAGTTTTCAACGCTCTCACTTATCGTTTAATTCCCTGAGAACGATGATCTCCATTTAAAATAGGCCTGGAACCAACTTTGTAGAGCATGAACAGAGCTTTTCCATGGTAAAAAAAGGTTTTCCTAGCTCTCATTATTCAAAAAAAAATTCAAAAAAAAAACGTAACGCTGTGACACACTTTTTCTCTATTATATTATGTACTTTTTAATCGATGTAGATTCATCTGAATCAATAGGTTTAACGTATATCAAGTGGCGTCTATACGATTTCTGCTGCTAAAGACAGTATTGTCGCCTATACAGACCTGTTAAATCTCTATCAGGCTTTACATTTTCTTTTATAGTACGCAATCATTCTGTTATGAATTCGAAATCTTCTTGGAGACTCATTGTCACTAGAATTGAAGCACATTCTATATTCAACCATAGTGTTCATCCAACTCGGGACAAAGACTCGGTCTCGTTCGACCTGGGTAAATTTTTTTTCTACTTTTTGATGCTGTTTTATTTTCAAAGTTTTTCTAGTCTTTCTACTAATAAATCTTTTCTAAAGAATTTTTTTTGTGTAACCTAAGTCAAAAAATCTTATTTAAGAAAGCATTTTTCTACTTTTCATCGTTTCACTAAACACACACCTAAAGAGAAAAGCAAAGCGAAACAAAAAATCCAAAAACTGTAAATATCTACTGTGAATATTTTATTGTCGTTTTTTGATTAGGCATAGAATAATAACGAAATTCTATTGTATTTTTATCAATTACATTAACTGAATGCGTTTTGAGTGTTTCTGGCATAGTTTTTGCCGTTTTGAAAATATTCTCAAGGTTAATTTTTGAGTTATCGATATCATTTCTTGTGATCTCAACAAGAATTACTTTGTTCGTTTTTTCTGTGCAAGCTTAATAAAATCTTCAGCTGACCGACACACTTCTCCTGCCAGTACGGCAGACCATACAAGACGTTTTACAATCCCCCCCCCATATTCCATCTACCACACCTTTCCCATGAGATGTTGCGAAAAAGTTCCAACTCAGTTTGATTTTACGTTCATTATTACTTTGCATTAAGTTTCGAAAAAGAAAACGTTGTTTGAACTGTGAAGCAGCACCATCAGAAAAACAATTTACTTCTAAAACGTTTGGTAGAACTGTTTCAATATGATTTAAAATAATTTTCAAAGCTGCATTGGCAACAAACTTATCATGTGTCAAATCAAGCGATGGTAAAGCAAATGAAAAACTTTTACTTTTCGACCAAACAAAAGCGGTAAAAATACTCAATGGTTTTGTATTCCAATGTGCACTTTGAATCTCGTCTTGCTCTTTCATATTGAAATTCTCTGCAAAATCAACCTGAAGTAAGATCTTCTCATCAATAACTTCCGTTTTCAATTTTTCAAAATATTTCGACTGCTCTCTTTTAATGTATACATGAAACAAAAAAAATTCAATTTTTGATTTAAACATCAAAATTGCTTCATCAACACTTCCTGAGAACTCTTTTTTTTCTACACGACCGTTTTCTCTGGCCCATTGTGACCAAGTAATTTTACTATTACTATTTGAAACATTCTCCTGGATGTTTTCTGAAAAGAAATCTTTACAAATAGAACAACACCCAAACATACATTCTTCGTTATTAGTACTACAAACTAAGCTATCAGTAAATGTTGACAAAGATGAACATTGTGTTCCATCAACGTATTTATCAACATCTTTCAACAATAATCGTACATTTTCATGATATACGCATAGCCAATTTCGATGTGCTAAAGCAGATTTCGAAAAAACAAATACTGGCCTTAAATCAGCAAATGATGAACGACTTAAATCAACACTTTTATTTTCATCTTTAAAAAATTCATACGTTTCACGTAAATTATTAATCAAAATTCTTTTTTGATATGTTACTTTTTTCCCATCATCATCCTTGACAACGACTGTGTCTCTTTTACCTGGTAGTTGATATGATATATCATCTCGTTGATAAAAATTATGGACACCAGTGTTTAGCTTATTAGCAAGTTGAAGCGTGATACGTTGATGTTTTGATTTAGGAGCCAAACCAAACTTTTCAGCCAGATGCTGATTTTAGTGTGCATCCAAGATTTAATGGATTCTTATGTAATATCTGTAATTAGATCTTGGGTACAGGATAATGCAGTTATCTTGTACCTGAATTTCCAAGATCTGTTAACATATCTGTACCTTATATCTTGACCAAGATCTTGCTTACAAGATGTTTGTCTAGGGCACTCTCTTATTTTCATGGAAGAATTTTATAAATCACTTGATAAATATATTGAAAGTTTAAATCACAAATTTCAAGACAAGTTTTCTATAAAACAGTTATTGTATGATGATATAATATTGGTTCTCCAAGATGGTTGGGGAGATTCTCAGCTTAAATTCTGGGTGAATAAGAATTTTAAAATAATAAAAATTGGTGATCAGAATGTTGTATACGATATTAAATCTAATCATCCTGTTGTTACACACGAAAATTAAACATAAAAGTAATAAAGTTGATATTTTTATATTCAGGAAAATTTTTAATTTCTCCTGCGACGTATACATGAAACAAAAAATATTCAATTTTTGATTTTAACATCAAAATTGCTTCATCAACACTTCCTGAGAACTCTTTTTTTTTCTACACGACCGTTTTCGCTGGCCCATTGTGACCAAGTAATTTTACTATTACTATTTGAAACATTCTCCTGAATTTTTTCTGAAAAGGAATCTTTACAAATAGAACAACACCCAAACATGCATTCTTCGTTATTAGTACTACAAACTAAACTATCAGTAAATGTTGACAAAGATGAGCTGTGTGTTCCATCAACGTATTTATCAACATCTTTCAACAATAATCGTACATTTTCATGATACACGCATAGACAATTTCGATGTGCTAAAGCAGATTTCGAAACAACAAATACTAGCCTTAAATCAGCAAATGATGAACGACTTAAATCAATACTTTTATTTTCATCTTTAAAAAATTCATACGTTTCACGTAAATTATTAATCAAAATTCTTTTTTGATATGTTACTTTTTTTCCATCATCGTCCTTGACAACGACTGTGTCTCTTTTATCTGGTAGTTGATATGATATATCATCTCGTTGATAAAAATTATGGATATCAGTTTTTAGTTTATCAGCAAGTTGAAGCGTGATACGTTGATGTTTTGATTTAGGAACCAAACCAAACTTTTCAGTCAGATACTGAATTACAACTTTTTTTTTCGATCGCATTTAGGAAGCGAAGATTTGACTTTTTTCAATGACTTACTGAATGACTGACGAGTTTTAAATGAAATCGAAGAAGGCTTATTGATTAAACGTTTGATTTTATTTTCTCTACACTTTCGTTGACGAAGTTTTGCTTTACTGCGCAATTCAGTTAAGCTTGCTCCTGACAATTTCGTTTTTATTGAGTTATTTCGAGCGCGAGCTTGTGCTTTCGCTGTTTCATATTTCACACTATCTTTTTTTTCTCGATATTTTTTCATTCGTTCAGCATTAGTTTTCGCCATACGAACCTTGTAATCGGAACAAGTACTTACCGTGGTAAAAGTAATTTCAACTGTACGTTGAACAAGAATAGAAAGAAGAAAGAAAAATTTAGCTTAGTTTTGCTGTGCAACTGTATCTTATCGTATAGATGGGAATGATTCTTCTTTTTCTTTCTCGCCTAGTTATATATGATGAACGGAGAAAAGAAAATAACGGTTGCTTATTTCGACCGATAACAACGCGACAAACTTATACACTCCTCGTGTTCAAGAGATAAAAATATGTTTATTTTTCTCAGTATAAACACCTGTAGTTCAATGGCAAATTTCATGCTGATCTCGAATACATATCGATCAGTAATATTAAAATTAATCATAGAAAAAACATCGTAAAAACAACAAAAACTAGAAATTTTCGAGATACTCACTGCTAGACAAATACAGAAAGGTCAAGAACAACTTTAAATTCATGAATTCACTATTTGTCGATCATAATATTGAAATTAGTTCTCAATTATTTAAAGTAAAAATAGCACAAAATATTAAGTTTGTGTCACAGCGTTACGTTTATCTACTCCAAAAGAAAATATTTTTTAAATAAAAAGGAGTGTGTTAGAATCACCATAATAAGTTAGCAATGGTCCACTAGTTAGTTTTATTCTATTCTGTAAGCTACTAGTTCAAATTTGAAAATAAGATCCATTTAGTAACGCTGTAACGGTAAAATTGGTGAAGTTTTATTTTGAGAATTTTTCCATGCAGGAGAAAATATTTAAATTTATTCTTTAATCAAAAGAAAGGCTGCTCTATATAGCTCACAAAACTTTTGATATTGAACTCTGGAAGTAAAACATCAATGTGCATCGTTGATCGCAGAGCAACAGTAAAAAAACTGCAATTGACCATGCAGTTATTAACACATCATGCATTCATTTTTAAAAACTAACAACGACAATTTTTTGATTAATAAAATACACTTTCTTACACTTTCGTGTATGCTCTACAACGTGGCATAAAGGTTGATTTCGAATATTGAAATCAAAACCTAATCACTGAAGTAGCGCGTTACGTGGACATGCCGACATATAATAATTACATAATTGTGTTAGCTGTTTGTTTTGTTCTTTTTTTCTCTTTCTTCCTCTATCTTCGTAATTGCAATTGTAATTGTATTATCTTTTAATGTTACATATAAAAAATTAATACGTGATTATACACATTTCTATCTAATTGCATGAGAGGTCGATTCTATAGTATTAGAAACTCAAAATATAATTTGATTTTCATTGACAATTAATACCTTGTCGTGTTAATGCTAATATGAATTACTTGAAATATCTTTTGAATTGCTGACTCATCAAAAGGTTTTGCTTGAAATATTTAAAATTTTGATTTTTTATCTTAAATGACAAAATGAGGAATAGGAGGACCATTCTCATACCAGGTTTAATTTTATTCACACCAATGTTAAGGATGTGGGTGTAAGTGATGGTTAGAGATTTTGGATTCGAGAATTTCTTCCGTTCCACACCCTCGGAAAGATATTTTATCGTCAGTTAAGGCCTCAATTTTTTCTGTTGTAGACCATAAGAGAGAAAAAACCATAACCAGATTTGCAACATAGAGCACGCTGGAAAATTTTTCTGATTACTAACCATCGTGTATACGTAATAGGCAAGCCATGAAAACAAAATCGAAGAGAACGAAAACAAAATGAAAGATAATTTCCAACGAAGGAAACACACTGTTTATACAGTNAGTTAAGATACAGATTTGGTGATAAACCTTGGATATGGTTTTCGTAGAACTTTCTTCATACGCATGATATTAAGAGAGTATATAGAGTATGATTTTGGCCAGGTATACCCAGGTGAATGAATCCGACTCCCTGACAGAATCCAATAGGATTCCTGGACACGGATCTATTATCGGTTCCGACGGAAAAAAATCATTTTCTTATTCACGATCAAATAAGCGTTTCGAGTCATCAGAGCACAAGGGTGATTCGTTAGAATTGGATTCCGTTAAAATCCAATATTGGATCCGACTGTAGGTCCGTATCCAGGAATCCCATAAGGTTTCATCGGTTTTATTGAAACACATATGGTATTCGATATATTCACTGTCTGTCTGACCCTTCTCGGAATCCGATAGGATCCTACTGTCGGAATGATTCTCCTGGGTATAGATAAAAACATGAAAGTGTCGGTGTTTATCTGTGTACATGAAGGCAATAAGAATTGCATCACTAAATGTGCAGCCCCTCCACCTCACGGAAGGGAAATAAACTGTTTTTTTGATTTCGAGTAATATCAGATGATTTCAAGTGGCATCTATTGATTTCAAATCTATTTCAAGTATCGGAATCAGTTTGTTCCACCTCGATTACGCGCAAATAGTCTCCATGCTCGTATAATGGCTAAATTCTTGTATAACTTACTTTTTATACTGATGCAAAACACTGCATGTCTCCAATGAGAATTGCGGCGTAGTTTACTGTTTTTTTTTTATTTGTAATGTTATAGCAATAAATATACCTTTATATATTTTCGAAAATGTGACGAGCTGTGTGCACTCATCCGTACACATACTCAAGTTATGCAAAAAAAAAATAAAACTGTATAAACAGTGTGTTTCCTTCGTTGGAAATTATCTTTCATTTTGTTTTCGTTCTCTTCGATTTTGTTTTCATGGCTTGCCTATTACGTATACACGATGGTTAGTAATCAGAAAAATTTTCCAGCGTGCTCTATGTTGCAAATCTGGTTATGGTTTTTTCTCTCTTATGGTCTACAACAGAAAAAATTGAGGCCTTAACTGACGATAAAATATCTTTCCGAGGGTGTGGAACGGAAGAAATTCTCGAATCCAAAATCTCTAACCATCACTTACACCCACATCCTTAACATTGGTGTGAATAAAATTAAACCTGGTATGAGAATGGTCCTCCTATTCCTCATTTTGTCATTTAAGATAAAAAATCAAAATTTTAAATATTTCAAGCAAAACCTTTTGATGAGTCAGCAATTCAAAAGATATTTCAAGTAATTCATATTAGCATTAACACGACAAGGTATTAATTTTCAATGAAAATCAAATTATATTTTGAGTTTCTAATACTATAGAATCGACATCTCATGCAATTAGATAGACATGTGAACAATCACGTATTAATTTTTAATATGTAACGTTAAAAGATAATACAATTACAATTGCAATTACGAAGATAGAGGAAGAAAGAGAAAAAAGAACAAACAAACAGCTAACACAATTATGTCATTACTATATGTATAAATGTCGTTCGCTTTTTCTTTTGTTTTTTTCATGTATTGCGCTTTACGCAAGTTGTAATTAGATCGTCTTTTAATGCTATATATTCAGAATTTATACATAAATATTTATTTTACCTTCGAATATTTTTATTTCTTGATGATTACAACTCCAAAAGATTGAAAACTCGAAATAAAGTTGTTTTCTTTTGTACAAACTATATCAGTGTTAATTCAAGACGAAAATATTTATTGCGACTAATACTCATGTTTATATTTATAGTACACTACAGTTAGATCATTTTCTTTGTAATAATCAGTTGTTTGATTTCATTTATTATGTTTTGTTCTAAGGGATTGCTTTTTCGAGCTTTTTGTTTAAAATGTATACATAAACATTTGTTGAAATTATGTTAAATGTTTTAATAAAACTCATTCAGAATACTAATAAGCTCGAACTTGCGTAGAAGTCTTCTTTTTTCGCGAAGGCAGAAATCCTCCAAAATCCTCCTTTTTTTAGAAAATAGCGTTAACATAACATACCAGGTATACAGTTCATGTTCAGTAATACCGATTGGTGTCTACTACACATCTTGCGTATCAGAATTCACCACAAATAACTTACAGCAAAAACAAAGAGTATTTCTTTCATCTATTAGCTATAAACCCCCCACAGAATAGAAGCCCACCCTGTCTTAAATAAACATAAAACGGGGAATTTAACACATTGGATGGACTACTTTATTGCTTATCCCTGTTTCGCTGTAACTCAATTTATATGCTTCATTTGCTTTATTTTGTATGCATTCTAATACCAACAGATACATGAGCCTCTATCGAGAACTGAGAAATATGAGGCATACATATTAATAAATTCTAGCTGCCTAAGAAGTATGGGAGATAAATTTGAGGGCAACAATGTCATATTGTTAAGTTTCTTCTTCTTCTGAAATTAGGTAGAGTTCGAAAGCCGAATGATTAAAAATTTTCTAACTTGACAATATTGTGAGCATATCTTTCAATGAAGATGAGACTTCTCGAAATGTTGAGCTATGATCGATATCAGTCACGCGAGAGCTCATAAAACTCAAAAACAGATGCCAATGAATGACGGTGTGGTATCGATTATCATAACACTTACAAGATCTCGAGTATCTCTTTTTGTTTGAAATGAGAGATCCTTATTATATTGTCAAATGTT